AGTCCAATACCCGCAAAATCCCTATTAGGACTTGAGCAAAATTCAAAATTGTCTGACATCCCATTAATGTCGGATTGTGTGAGAGAGTCTTTTTCTAGATAATTTTCCCCACAACCCACCATCATCCCACTACCTTGACCTTTGTGAATGCACATGTCCCACTTTGACCCAACTCCTTCAGCTGACAGTCCCCTATCTTGACTATTCTTAAGCCATGTGTCTACCTTTGACCTAAATCCATCTGCTGGGACTTCCCTATTGTCTTCTTCCTTCTCTGTATTTCCACCATTGTCACTGCTGCTGCCATATGCAGAATTCTGCCTCATGGCACCAAAAGCTTCAGAAATAGATTTAGAGCTGGATCCCACATTAATTTTAACTTTAAACGATCTTCCATAAGATCCTACAATAACAGATTCTTGTACATCAAAAGGGCTTGCAACCCTTAACATCATTCTGGCCGAAGAGAGGTCATCCTTATTTCTTGTTTCCTCCATTATACTAACAACCTTTCCCCACTTACCTCCAAGCTTCTCCAGAAAAGGTACGCTCCAGCTAAGAAGCGGTAAACCAACTAACTCGACCAAGCAATAGGCCAAAGGGACTCCATCTTCACTCAACAAAGGATCTACCCAATCAAACCAACAGTGGAATTTCTCTCTAAGACTTGACCACGCCTTTACAAATTCTTCATTTGTATTGAACATAATAATACTGGCATTCCTAGCATATCCCGACCTTACTATCTTAACCTGGAAACCCTCTTTTGCCAAAGCTCTCACCACCATATCAGGCTGAAAGGGATCTTTAATAACCCCTGTTAAGGAGTTTTTCACCCAGCAAAAATCTTCTGATGGGATGTGCATATCCCATACATTTCTCACTCCTTTTGCTATATTCTGGCCACCCCTATTCTCCATTCGATGTTGATCCAAACTCCTACTGTTAGCCACACTCACAACCTCCTTGTACGTTCTGCCATCTCTCAGACTTGGTGATTTCTCCAAATCAGCCTGCTGTCTACCATTAGCCTCTCCATCTGGCTTAAATCCTTCCAACTGAGATCCTTTTAAATCTGCTACTCTTTTCCTGCCCCTCTTGTACTTTGCAACCCCCACTATGACTCTCTTCCCATCAATCAGTATTCCGTTGACATTCTGAACTGCTCTTCTGCAACCTTCCTCCTTCGCATATTGCACAAAAGCAAACGTGGATGACTTATAATTCGATTTACTCATAAAACTTGGAATAAAGACCCTCACTATTCTTCCAAAATGAATGAAAATCTCTCTTAACTCACCTCTAGTAACTCTCATACTAAGATTTCCAACAAAAACAGTCCATTCCTCACCGGGAAATGAACGACCAAAAGCACTCGCTCTCCTTCTCTCTCTATTTTTCTCACTCATGTTAAGTATTATTTTTTTTGTTGTGAATTTGAAACGCATTGAGTGAAAAGTTTAACTTCACGCACATTTAGATTCTGGATTTTTAACTATCATGCATACTTTAAACGAAAAAGCTGATTTCCAGGATGAAACAATTACGTCAATGATTTTATTACCAACAGACATCCAAAATAGTACACTAAATGATCCCATGTTTCAATATAGGTAGAAAATGAAGGTTCAATGAAAGTGAGCTAAAAATTAAGGAAGCTTCGCTAACCATATTAAAAATTCACAAAACGAAAATGCAAAACTAAATAAAGATTAACAAAAAAATCAAATCAGCAAAACAGCGATCTTAATCTTACACTTAAATCATATAGCAAATCACATAATAAAATGATGATCTAGGCAGGTCATGTTTGAACATAACCATATCTAATTCTTAACAGATCAAATAGTTGAAATCAATGAGTCGACTGCTAAAGGTCAACTAACAAAGAAGATAAGAAAAAAGAACGAAAGTGACATTCAAAGCTATAAAAATTCAAGTGCCAAAACAATCAATTAATTGAAATGAAAAATAGAATGAAGCATGCTCATAAATTCATAAATCGGAGCCCTAGATCCGTCACATTATTCAAATTACAAAAAGAAAACGATCAAAAGGTTTAAAGAAAATATAACTAAAGCTAAAGCTGAGCATCAAAAACTAAAGCGACGGTTAGATCTGCGAAACAGGGCTCAATCGAAATCATTAAACCGTAGTTTAAAAAAAGAAAAGCGTGAAGAAAATAAAGAGAGAGATGAGAGAAAGGACCATCGCCATCCTTGTCAAAGAGGCTAAAGGCTTCCTTGAACTCAGAGATCTGGTCGTCCGTAAGCTGATCGGCCATGGTCTTCTCTATTTAACCGTTTTTAGTTCCTCGAAATGACGGCGTTTGGGTAGAGAAACAGTCCCGGAGGAAAATTATGCGAGCGTTTGAGGGGCGACTGGCGAGGCTGAAATCCTTAAATGAAGAAAAAGTAAAAGGGGATCGAAGGGCAAATATAAAGGGCCCAACACATATTAAGGCATCTGATTCTCTCTCGTTCGCACGCATTTTCTCGGGGGTTTTTTTTCTTCCATTTTTTAATTCTACTAAACAAGATTTTTCCCTTGAAAACTAAGAGATAGTATCTATGCATTTAGTTCCCGAATATAAGATTATTTTTAAAAATAATATTATTGAAATATAATATTATTTTGAGAATATTGTATTATTATATTTGATTCATTTAATAGAAATATAAGATTATAGTATTTAATTGAAGAAATATGAAATTATTTGAATGCGTATTTTATCAAATTACTCTTGTGATATATATTTTTTAACAAGTAAAATTTTAATATAAAATTATAAATATTTGAATAAAAATTTATAAAAAAATATTTTGATTGTTACACTATTTACGTTTAAAACAAAAGTTCAAAGAAAAAATATATTTAACATATAATTAATATAATTAGTATATCAAACTTATATCTTTAAATAATTTTCATAAGTATCATATTTATTTATATAAAGTATAATATGAAAAATAATATTGTGATCTCGAGTGCATAAATATATTATTTTTTAATGTATAAGATCTATTTTTTTAATAATTCAAAATTAAATATTATTTTAAATAATTATGTTTTTTACAATAATAACATTTTCATCTCATAAAAATATAATAATTAATATATTAAATATTTAAAAAATAAAATAAATTTAACTACTCAATTTTTTTAATATTTTACTAAATTAAACTCTTTGTATATTATTATTATTATTATTATTATTATTATTAATTTTGAGTAAAGCACAAAGAACAAAGATTGAGAAGGATTCATATAATATAGGGGTATTTATATCCAAAGTGGTGAGAATTGTTCATTACACAAGAATTTTGAGGTAATGACATTCCTACTATTTCAATAAAAAAAATGCTACTATTGGTAATAAATTATTACCTAATAATGATCTTTTCCCCGAACCAAACACCCTATAAGATGTTTACTTTCCCATGAAATATTATGATTGTTATAAAATTTTAATCTTATATTTACTTTATCTTCACTCGTGACCGAGTTAGGATATTAATTTAAGAGATAAAGTATAATTAATAATAGAAATAGAAAGAAATTAAATAAAATTAAAAGATAAAGTATAATTAAAAAATTTAGAATAAGTGGTTAAAATTTTTTAATTAACACGTTCTCTCTCTTGGTTGTGGCCTCAATACTCGTTAGGAGCAATTTTTTTCACCCCTCCCTTAGGATAGAATTTTTAAAAAAAAATAAACTGAAACTAAAAAAAGTTTTTTTTTTATAAAAAGGCGCTAGTTTTACTAAAAATAGAAAATATCTAAGATTACAATTAAGATTTACGAGCATACTCGTAAACGTAAACTAAATTATAATTAGGACATTTTCCTATAATCATTAACACAAAAACTAGCCACTTAGATCACACAAGTACCATAAAAGGAAAAAAATTAAAAAACCTAACCAATGCTTGAATAAAATAAAGATACGAAAAAATATGTCTATATCGGTAAATGAACCATAAAAGGGGATAACACTACAAAAAGACAACCGACAAATCGCAAATCAAAGTCAAGTTACGTGAGAAAACAATTCACGAGCGCAAAACGGGTATCTAAATAAATTCGAGAGTCAAAAACAGGGAAAATCAACATGATAACAAATAAGCGTCATCTTAATCAGTCGTGACGATGTCAAATCCAACCCTGTGAAAAAAGATAAACGAAAAAACTGACAAAAAATCGTAAGCTACCAAAAGACAGAGAAAAATATGTCACAAAAGCAACGATAAATGTGCTACAAAGACAGAGAACATGTCACAAAGACATAATTATTCTTATTAAACAACTAAAAAGAAGAAGAAAAAAGATAATCGGTGAGTAGAAACCAACATTAAAATCGGTGACGCCTCCGGTTAAACAAAATTAAAGAAAAAAATTAGATTGATCAATAAAATTGACACAAATTGTAAAAAAAAGAGAGAGATAAAAAGAAAGAAAACGGCTAGTTTTTTTAAAAGAAAACGGCTAGTTTTTTAAAAAATATAAAAATATAAATAAATATTTTATATAGTTTTCTAATAATAAAAAATTAAGAGGTAATGACCCCGTTGGCGAAGCATACCTTCGTCCCTGTCTTCACTCCTAATAGGCCAAAAATAATATTAATAAGAGTAGCGCTCTCTTTCTAAGATTATAGGAATGTTATTAAACTTAACTCGTTTGATAATAAAATCATTGAGTAATTTTAACAGATAAAAACAGTATTGGTTTTTCTTGAGATCCTTAAAATAAAATATAAATTATAAAATATTTAGATCAATTTGAATTTTATTTTATTTAAAAATAATAATTCTAATAATTTACTAGCATTTAGATTTCAATATTTTCTAATAGGAGTTCAATTTTTTAATGTAACAGCGTTAGCATTATTTGTTGTGCTTTTTGGCATAAAAGGTAGGGAAAAAATGACAAGGTTCAAACCAGCTAGAAATATTTAACCTTTCTTAAAAAGAAGAAGAAGAAATATTTAACCAGTCAGACTTGAATTCATGTCTCTTATTGATTCTCAAACACATCATAAAATAGAAACTACATTCAATATTAACTTCCCACAAAGCTTAGTTTCTAGTAGTTCCTCAATGCCATGATTGCATTCTTGAAGTAAATTGCAATCACCGCAACCAATAAAACAGCCAAGACCATGTTCATAACTTTCCTTTGATTCTTTATCCCCTTGGCTGAACCCCCAATAACTCGTTCTTGAGCAGCATATGGGACAGAATCGAAAGGCTTTTCACTCTGTCGGCTACCCTTTTTGTCCTTCTCCATCAGCCTGGGATCAGATTCATTAGATGCATTGCTTTTGCTGTCATCTTTGATCTCCTTTTGTTTACCCGGTGTTTGCTCTGAAACTTCGTCAGCCTCCTTGCCCTTGGGGGGACGTTTTTGAATTGCCTGTTCTACACCGTTCTTTTGTTTCTCGGGCACATCTGCAGCCCTTCGAGTCTGGTCTTCGATCAATGGTTTAGCTTTTTCCGACTTCTCATCGACAGGGGCGATCAGTTTCGGGAACTTAACATAAAGCTTATTATCCTTGTAATTTGCTCTGATCTTGTTCCGGTCACAATTTGATGGAACGGGGACTTCCTTGAAGAAACGGTTGAATTTGTTGCCACCAATTGGTCTTTCTCCTGATATCCTCGAGTTCCCCGTACTTGTTACTTGAACTTTAAGTTGATCCTTACTAAACCCTGTTGCATGAATCACATTCAGGGATCAGCTGAATCCATTGGTTTAATCTAAAATATAAAAAATCATGAATATTAGGATCAAGAACGAACCTGGTAAATGTGCAATCAAAGTGATGTCCGCAGTTTCATGAGCCCATTCAGTGCGGACCGCGAAGTCTTCATAAACCGGCATGGGCTTCGAATCCATGGCTTTTGTTTAAAATCTCTTGATTAATGCGTCGAGGATGAATTATGGGACTTGCTGTTTAATTGTTGGCTTTATATATACACAGAACAGAAACATCCGGAAGAACCGATGGGTTTTTTGTTTTCTTTGAAAAGATTTATTCTTTATTCTCTTGATTTTGTTAAGGGTTTCACATATGCTTCGGCATCGAATACTTGGTCGCCTTACGCAAAAGGCTAAGCCCAGGTTCTTTGCGGGTTCCGAAAGGCGAAAACTCTGCTTTTTTGTTTACTGTATTTGGGATGCGAGGTGTGGGCCATTTCGAGGGATTAAACAATAGAAAGAAATATAAGAGGAATGTTTAATAAACTAGTGTAGCTTTAATTAGGCATATGTTTCTTCAATGGTAAGGAAAGAAGATATATCACCACAAGGAATATTTAACGATGTTACTTAATATTAAATGAATATATTTATAAATATATAATTGAATGCAGACTTAAACTAAAATTAACTACTCAAATTATGTTTTTTAATACTTAAAATATTTTTTTGGTCAAAATAAGTCCTTAAATTATTATATGTAATCGCTTTTAAATATTTAATCTATTTTTGGTCAAAATAAGTTCCTAAACTATGACTCTTTTTTGCTTTAAGCCCCTAGACTATTTTTTTTTGTCAAAACAAGTACATAATTTTTTGTGATGTGTCGACATCTTATTAGTCGAAAAATATTTTCTAATTGGAAAAAATTATGGGAATTAAAATGTTAAAATGTAATAGTTTAAGGACTTAGTTTGATCAAAAAATAGTTTAGATACTTAAAGTAAAAAGAATACATAATTTGAGTACCTATTTTTACTTTAAGCCTTGAATATATTAATCGATTTAGATTCATTTAGATCCATCAAATGATTATATATTTGTATGAAATAAAAAATACATCATTCGCATTCATTCATTTAAAAAATAATTTTTTTTTTGATAAGTCAGATTTATATATCCAAAGAAAACAGATAATTACAAAAGAATCAAAGATTTTCTATACCCCAGTGATTGCATATAGAAATATTAACAGTATCAGTTCGATTGAATTTCCCCCCCCCCCCGAAGCTGCAGACTAACAGTATCTTTAATGGCTTTTAAGATTGCTTCAGCTGGCTTAGCACGATTATGGAATACCCGCTTGTTTCTTTCTTCCCAAATCATGTATACGATGGCGTTGAGAGCAAGTTTCATGACCAAAGTTTGTAAAGATTTGTCTTTCCACAGAGAGCTGGCCCGAGCCATGAAAACCTCCCAAGAACAGTTCGGGAATTGCAAACCAGACAATGTGAACGCACCTTTCCAAATGGTGTCACCAGTAGAACATTTGAGGAAAATATGCTCTCTTGTTTTTTGTTTAAAATTGTAGAGCACACATTGACTTTTGTTGGTGAGTCCAATTCGCAGCAGTCGATCCTTAGTTGGGAGCTTGTCAAGGAAAGCTATCCAATAAATGAGGTTGTGCTTGGGAATGTGCAGGGGAAACCAAACCATATTATGCCATGGGACTTTATCCTTCTTTTCTCGGATTGAATCCCAAATTTGACTGGTTTTACTTGCAGCTGGAGTAAGAACTTGAAGTGCTTCGGTTTTGAGTTGGAGGAGTTTATTAAGGCTCCAACTTGCAGAGGGTTTAATGTTCACTGTCCAAAAATCTTTCTCCTTGAAAACATAGTGATTAAGCCATGCAACCCAGAGGGATATTTCCCAGCTAGGATGTTTTTAATAAGTGAAAACATACAAGCTTTATTCCAGGATTTCATATCCTTGACCCCGAGCCCTCCTTCAAATTTCAAGCAGCAGATTTTTCCCCAGCTCACTCTTGCTCTAGCAGCAGATTTGTCTGACCTTTTCCAGAAGAAACGAGAGCAAAGTTGTTCTATTTTCTTTAGGACGAAGATTGGCAGAAAAAGCTGTCTACACTAGAAATTAGAGATACTAGACAGTACAGACTTGATTAGTTCTAATCTTCCAGCATAGCTAAGGGATTTTGTGGACCAGTGTTGCAATCTAGCTTTAATGATATCAATGAGGACCACATAGTCCGTTTTAGAAATTTTCTTAGTGAGCATTGGAATATCTAAGTATCTCACAGACAGAGAACCTAAGTTGAACCCAGTAGTATGCTGAATTTTCTCAATTACTCAAGTATGCATACCACCAACAATTTTTATGTTTATTTATTTAGTTTAATAAATAAATAAAATAAAAACAATTCATTAAATGTTTTATTAGTTTATAATCACATAATAAATAATATTAAATTGATTCAACATAATATTTTTAGAATTAATTTATGAAGCACTTACACACACACACATATATATATCCCTTTAAGTTTTTAAGTATTTTAATTTATCTTTTAATTTTATGTGTACGAAATAAAGTAAACAAGGACGGAACTAAAAATTTATTATATAGGGGATTAAAATAATTTGTTTTATAAATGTAGATTTTTTAATAGAGGGGACATGATAAATTTTTATTCATTTATTTTAATATATATATATATATATTTAAATATTAATTAATATTTAAAAAAATAATTGATGGGGCAAGGCTCCGCTCGGCCCCATGAAATTCCGCCCACGGTGGTAAAATAATTATTTTTATTTATTTACATTTTGAGTTTGAACACCATAAATAATAAATATATGAGTATTCAATGTCAAATGACTGAGATAAATATCTTTAAATAGTTACTACCATGTATTTATCTTAGATTATAAAAACTTTTGATTTTACGTAAATTTTGAGATATTTTATGTATTAAATTTACATATATAACGGGCTCAAAAGAATGTACGGATTGGCAATTGGGCTCCAATTTTAGACCCAGAGTAACAATTACAGAAGCCCTAAATATTTAGTATATTACGTGCGTCCCATTTATTGGTCGAACATGAAAATGCCACAAAAACGATGCCGTATTTCCCAAATTTCGGGGCGTTTGCCTTTCAAAATATATGGTAAAATACATTTTAGGTTCTTATATTATGTGTTTTATAATAAATAAATCACTTTTAAAAAACTATAAATAGAGGTGGCAAACGGGTCATTCGGATCGGGTTTGGGTCGGGTCATTTCGGGTCGGATAATTTTGGGTCTATTTTAAATTTGATTTAATTATGTTCGGTTAAGATCAGATCTAGTTCGAGTGTATGGTGAATCGGATCGAGTCAGGTATTGAGTTAGGTCAATTTTCGGGCTAGGTGATTATTGGATCGATTGTTTTCTGGTTCGAATTAATATTTTATTGGTTGTTTTTTGGATCGGGTCAATACCGTATCGATTGAATTTTTGGTCGGGTTAATACCATATCGGTTAGATTTCGGGTCGGGTCAATATATGATCGGTTGATTTTCAGTTTAGGTCAACCTTTAAATTAGGTTAATTTTGGTTGAATTTGTTATGAGTCTAATCAAAATCAAGTGCATATAGAATAATTGATATATACTTGTAAAAATATGTATTCTTATTTCTTATTTTTATCATTTATGTTTAATTTCAATTCTTAATCATTCAATATTTTGAATTAAACCATCATTTAGAGATGATAAATCGATAATTTGAAAAAAATACGATCCTATAATATGTGTTAGAATTTGTTATCAAAATTTTATATTGATCTCGTGTGAAAAATTTATAATGAGAACTATATGACAAAGAAATAAAATTTTTATTTCCAATTATAAATTTAATATTTTTTAAAATTTTAAAAATAATATATAACTTTATTGGTTAAGTTTTAGTCGTAACATAAGTAAATTTTATTTTATTTTCATTATAAATACAATATTATTTCCTTTGTTTTAGTTGTTTTCTATTATTTTTATTATAAATCTAATATTTTTATAACAAGTAAGATAAATAAACTTTATTTATTATTGTTTTCAATCTTACAATTAGATTCTTACTTTTATATTCCTCTTAAACTTTCTATTATTTTATTAAAAATTTAATATTTTTAATAAATTATCAATTTTATTAATATTGAATTATTATTGAGAATATTTTTTATCGTTTAATAACTTTTATCAATTTCAATTTGTTTGGGTTGCTTTCAGGTCGGGTTAAATTCAGTTCGAGTGGTTTTCGGATCGGGTTAAAATTCAGTTCGGGTTTCTTTTGGTTCAACTTGCCTTTGCTTCGGGTTAATTTTGGTTTCGTTAAATTTTTGATCGGGTATGGTTCGATTCGGGTATGGGTCGGGTATCAGATCAAATTTAATTATTATGTTCGGATTAATATCGAGTATTGGGTCGGATAAATCAATTCCGGTAATCAAGTTCAAGTCAGGTTTACCAGGTCTAACTATAAATGTATAATTAAAATAAAATATTATTATAAATGTATCATTTCATCGTTAAAATTAAGATATAAGTCTAATATAATATAGTATAATAATATTTTTAATCCTTAAATTTTAGGTTTAAGAGTTGCTTTTGCCACTATCACAGGCGGATACAAGCCTAAGCCTACCCGGCCATGGCCCCCATGCCCATATTGAGTCACTTATAAATTATTTACATTTTTTTGGTCGTATAATTATTATTTATTTTAAATCACACTTAATTTAAGTTTTGATTTTGTTTTGATCACTTATCTTTAAAAGTTTAGCACATATGTTGATGTGTCATCAAGATAATGCCATATCATGATTGAAAAATAATAAAAAAATATCATGTTAACATCGTTAATTTTTTTAATGGTGAGTGATGAAAATTAAACTAAAATGTAAGGTTAGCTATGATTTTGAAAAATAATAATTGAGTGACCAAGACATAAATTAAGTAATAGACGGATGACCAAATAGTTAGTTTACCCTAAATAAAAAGCATGTATGAATTATGTTAGAGAAAAATTTTATTATGTTTATATTGGCATGCTTATAATTTTTTTTTGGCTTCGTCACTGGTAGGGTGGCAACGGGACGAGGCGAGAACGATTTTGCATTACTCGATCCGTCCCCAACACTTACGGGTACAGTTTTAGGGAATCTTCGTTATATGTTTCGGGGATTTTTTTTGTCCCCATACTCATCCCTTACGAATCCTTGACGGTTTCGATTAATCCCCATCCCAAAAAATAAATAAACATTTTTTAAATCAATGCAACACCTAAAATTTATAAGATATACTAGATTGTCTCAAATTGATCTTAACAAATCAATGTATATGTACAATACTAATCTTTTTCAATCTTAGCAAATCAATGTATATTAAATGAGAAAATATCTAAACTTCAATTTTAGTTCATTTGAGATGTAACATTGACGAGATGTAATTTCACAATCTTATCATATATAATTTTTATTAAAATATATATTAAGGGTATATAGGTAAATGATTATAATTATATGTTTAAAATTTTGTAAAATATCAGAGATTCCTATTGATATTTTCGGGGATCCCTACGATTATTCACACAAATACGATTCAGTTATCCCCACGGTTCGGATATAGTAATCCCCGTCTGCATCCCCATTTGAGTTTCGGTGATAAAACTTCCCCTATCCTCATCCCTATGGTTGAAGATTTCGGTTATTTCCTATCTCCGTTGATTCGGATCCCCACAATTATTTTATCTTTCCCCACCCGATTGCCACCCTTAGTCATTGACCCCTATAGTCGACTTAATTTATCATTTTCTTATTTTTTTTTATCAATTTAGCCCTCAAAACTGTTTAGAAGTATCATCCTAGCCCTCGAAGCATGTTGACCGTTTTACTAACATAATTGCGAGTCTTTTATGTTTGTAGATTAATGTATTAAGATAAAATATTTACTAAACAAAACTATTATAAAAAATTAAAATTTTATTATTTATTTTAGTGAAATTAAGTGATTACATCTATTTTTTTAATAAATATCACATCAACAATATTGGTTGACGTGAAAATTGATGGAATCAATAAACACATAAGACTAATGATTCTTTTAGTCAAAACGAATTCTGAGGGTTAAGATGATGTTCTTAAACAACTTGGAGAATTAAATTAGTGTGAAAAATCATAAGACAAAAATGATAAAATAGACCTATTATAAGGATAAAAGTATCCTTAAGCCTAAAATTTATATATTCTATAATTTTTATTTTATTTTAAAAAACTTTAATAAATTATTATTAAAAAAGTTATTTTTTATTTTATTTATCTTTTTATATTTAATTTTTTCTACATTAATTTACTTTTTTACGATTATGTGAATTCAAACAAGTCCACTAAATCAAAACATATAAAAATAATAATATTTCGAAGAAAAAATTAATAATTTTTAAATATAAAAATTTAAAGTTATTAAATTATTTCATAAAATTAAACTAATAGATTCTATAAATTTTAAAAATTAAAACTTTTACACACCTAATAATATCATCGCTTCATCCGGTATTTAACTGTTAATTATAACACGAACGAAAGTTACCCGAGATAAAAAAAAAACTGTATTATATATTTATAAATCTATTAAATTATTTATAAAATTTGAAAATATTTTACCCTAAAATATATGTCTCGGCATGGCCTGCAAATTGAATTCATCATTCAAAAAGAGAAAAAGAAGGGAGAAAAGAAACGGGAAAGTAGAGAGAATTGGCCGCTGGGAGAGTAGTTGTAAGTCGGTGAGTCGTCGATACTCGATAGATGGTTAAGAAATCGAAAAATGGCGGTGGAAACGAATTTTGCATCGTTGTTTGAGAAGCTGAAAGTGGAAGATCCATGGCTACCTCCTCGAACCTGGGAATCCATTCCTTCTCAAAGTGGCCCTCTTCCTCCTCCTCCAGCCTCTCAATCTCCCATTTCCTCCTCTTCATCAGTCTCCGTAAGCCTAATTCTCTCTCTCGATAATTTATATGTACGAACTTTTAGATCAATTCTACTCGTATATTTCAACATTCTACCAACCACAACATTGTGATGTTTGATTTTCATTATAGAATTCTTTTAATTATAGTGTTTTTTTAGTTTTTTTAATTCTTTTTTTAATTAACTGAGTTTAGTTAACTGATCTGATTAGAAATTTAAAATTAAAATATTAACAACTCTTTAAAAAATTACACAAAAATTGTTTTCAATGAAAAAATATGTTTGAATGTATGTTAAGTTTGAATTATTTTCCCATTTTTAATTCTAATCTATACTTTTCGAATTTTCCCATTGTTTGGATTAAGATTCTAATTTACTGGTCGCTTTTAGATTCTATTTTCCCATTTGTCTTGATTTCTTTTTAGATATTTTGTTGCATGCTCGTCTCATGGCATAGCCATGTTACACATCAGTGATCAATGCTTCCTAGGTGCTTATGGATTGTGCAAAGCTATGGTGTTTTACTCCTCCCCCTCTTTAGAATGCACTCTGTGCTGTTTATCAGCAAATTTGATTTATAGGAGGTCCATTTTTAGTCACCTGAAGAATGTTTACTCTTTGAGACCATAATGATAGATTCTGGTTTGTGGTGATCCTACTTAAAAATATGATCAATCCATATACATTATTTTTAAGCTGCAGTCGATGATTTTATTTCCTTATAATAACTGTGATTTATTTTTTTTACAGGAGGCAACTTTGGTGAGGTTGGCACTGAATGCACTGCAAGGTGTAGAATCATCTCTTTTTAGCATTGGAAAAATTTCTGCTGCCTTTTGTTCTGACCCTGCGGATAGGACTTTCCATCAAACACCTAGTCTTTGGTATCGGTCTTCGAGCACTCATGCTCTGGGAAAGATTCTCAAATCAATAGGCTGCTCAGGTTTCTTAGTTTTCCTTCTCCGTAAGTTTGTAGATTATTTTACAAATTTGAATCTCAATGGAAATTCATTTTCACTACAAAAGGGCTGGGAAAGTTCTCAAGCAGAAGATAATCAGAATCATGGTGGCCAGAAAGTACAAGAGGAAGAGAGTCCTAAATACAGCCTTGTTAATCAAGCTTTCTCTGTAGCTATAGGAAAGTTTTTGGAAGGGTACATTTGTGCATTGGACACATTATATGCATCAGTAAATGTAAGGCGTTCATCAAAGAGTAGTGAAGTTTCTGCAGGTGTGTCTTCTGGCTGTCTTACAAGTGTAGTTTACTCTGAAATTACGCTACTGGAGGTATACCTGCATACCAAGGAATTGAGGACCCAGGTTGAAGCCCTTGGGAATATATGCAACCTGCATAATTTAGCTCTTTGCTTCTCAGAATCTTCTTTTGAAGAACTAAGTTATAAAGCAACCTTGGGATTTCATAACTTCTTCAGGGGAGGTGACCTGCTTAGTTACTTATATACACAACTTAAGGTTAGTTAATTGACCTTTGAAAAAAATGGTTAGCTTTATTGATTGTTGTATTGTGTAATTTTACTTAAAATTTTAATTTCAGTTAATTTACTCTTTAGTCTTTATATTGGTCAAGCTTTATATCACTGTTGGATAAACTGAATTTATTCAACTATGACCTATAGAGTCTAAAGCCACTATATATGGTGCTTGATTGATTGAACAACCAGACGTTGCAAGTTCTTCTTTGCTTCAACTTATTTGAACATGAACATAGGAAGTTTATTAAGAACCAAAACATCCTATTACTGAGCAATACTTTCAACTCCCATGGTTCTGCTAATTAACATTCAGTTAGCCAATTCTTCTTGTAGGTTGCGGACCCTGCTCACGGTGCTTTGCTCAAGTTTCTCTTTCTTCGGTCATGTGAACCTTATTGTGAGTTTATAAGGTCATGGATATTTAAAGCTGAGATTAATGATCCTTATAAGGAGTTTGTTGTAGAATACATTGATACATTACAACATTCTTCCTCCGGTAAAGCTTGCATCTCAACTGACTTTCCAGTTGCTAGTATTACGGTAATAAATATTGAGTGGTTTAATTTCATCATCTTTAAATATTTAGCATTTTTATTCCCCTGCCAATTACGATCCTCTTAAATGTGACTATTTGTGTCAGGAGCGGAATGGAGCTGCTGTTCCATGTTTCCTGAAGGATGTTTTGGTTCCCCTTGTCAGGGCTGGTCAGCAGCTTCAAGTTCTAATGAAATTGCTTGAATTGCGTAAATATGTTGATCCTGGAGACTATACTTATTCATATTTTCTTCCTTGCTGGAGTGGTTTTGCTGGCAGTAATCCGTTTTATGCTTCTTCAATCACTTTTAGCAAAGAAAATATAGAAGCCTTGGTTCTCATGCGGAATAGTTACTATGAAAGGATGGAGCAGAAACTTGAAAACTTACTGACAGGGTTGGAATTCAATTATCAACAGGTATCACAGTTTTTCTTGTAGATATGTTGCTTTCTTGTGGTGTTCTATGTCAAGGAAGATGATGAGAAAAATATGTGTAGCGTGTTTTTGTCTCTCTCTTTTGCTTTTACCATGGTTCATTATTTCTATTTCCAGTTGTAATCATCTATATCACATTACCTGCCGTCTGAGCCATTGTTCTAACTCTTATGGAGTGTATAACCTTTGGTATTTTTTTTTGATAGGAAAAGGGCCTCGTTAAAAACCCCCTTCTTAACCGTCAAGCTACATATGTATCTCAACGAACATTGGAAGGAGGAAAAGAGTGCCCAAATTTTATTACTAAACAGAAAATACATCCAGGGTAAAAACCAACTTAAATACAATCCTTCCCCACAAAACAAAACCTCTACCCTCAAAAAACACCCATACTACACAACAAACCAGATACACCCCACGTTACTCTATGCCCGACTTAGCTAAACTATATGCTTCCCAATTAAAACATCTATGGACATGCCTAATAATCACATTATAATCTAGTACGCACTTGGCAATTTCCTGAACTAGATGAACAAAAGCCGCAGGACTTGCTTCCTGATTTTTAATCCAATTCAAAGCATTGGATGAATCACTTTCCAAGATAAAACGCTCCTTTTCGCTCCACTCCGAATCCAAAAAAAGATTCAGACTAGCTTGAATTGCTTCAAGCTCAGCAAGAATCAGAGAGCTTGGTCCAGACGCATACGAGAAGAACCCCAACAACTTACGATCAACATCCCTAAGCAGTCCACCGTTTCCACTGCACCTCCAATAACAGCTTACAGCCCCATCAACATTAGCTTTACAAAAACCCGGTGGACGGAGACACCAATAGGGCGAGGGAGAAACTTTCTTCATACGACCAATTGCAAATCAGCTAAAGTTAGATCTCCCACAAGACAATCTAGGAGAACGGGTAAATTGGACTCCTTTGTCGAAAACTAGGCAACCACCCTATATCTGGCCAAGAAAAACAATAGAGTTTGATCCAACCTTCCATTTTCAAAAACCATTTGATTTCGACATTTCCATAAAGTCCACATTACAGCACCTGGGATGAATTTCCAAATATCAGATTTCAGAAGTAAATCAAACCAAGAGTACATAAACGCCTTGGGATTATTAGGCAAGGTTGCATATAGATTCCACAAACTTAGAAACCACATACATAATCCCCAAGCTATACTGCACGAGAAGAACAAATGACACACAGACTCGGGCTCCAAACCACACAACGGGTAAAGAGGATCCTCAATCCCATTTACACCACGTCTAATTAGTACAAATTTAACAACCATCTTCTGGTGAAAAACCTGCCATAGAAATGCCTTCACTTTGGGAGGTGCAATTCCAGCCCAAACAAACTTCGACCAAGACAAATTCGGATCGGACAGATGAGAAACTAAGTTAATGAACGATTTAACCAAGTATACACCCTCCCCTTTCCCTTTCCAAACACAACAATCATCAACGACCAATCCAAGACTAACATTATCCAACATCGACAATAACTCGATCCATCGATCAACTTCCCAATCTAGTAGATTTCTCCTCATTTGGATATCCCAGAACCAACTCCCATTGTTTAGAAAACCAAAATCCGCAATAGCCCCATCCTTATTGAGCGAAAGGGCGAAAAGCTTGGGAAATTTCACCTTCAGAGGAATGTTGCAGAGCCAACAATCGTGCCAAAACATAATGGAATTTCCCTTTCCAACTTGCAAAAGAAGATGATTGTGGAAGCAAAGACCAAAAGCATCATTCGACCAAAAGTTATCGATTACTCCCTTCCAAAGCCAAGAAGAATGGAAAGACAAATTATTATCCAACAAAATCGACTTTCTATCCAAATTGTACTTACAACACACCATCCTCTTCCACCAAGACTCCCTTTTGCTACTGAATTTCCATACCCACTTCCCTAATAAAGCCCTATTCATCAGATTTAAATCCGTGATACCCAAACTCCCGTAAACTTTTTGTTTGCAAACTGTTGACCAATTCACCCAGTGAATTCGATTTTTCTGAGCCGAGCTCCCCCACAAAAAATTAGCCAGAACTGAATTCAACTTTCTTCGAACACCAGAAGACATTTTGAACAAAGACATATAATAAATCGACAATGCATTTAGGATAGACTTCACTAAAACAACCCTTCCAACAAGGGATAGCGTCGTTGTTTTCCACCCAGCCAACTTCTGATAAAATCTTTGAAAAATCGGCTCCCATAAAGCTGTCGAGTTCCTCCTGGAACCAAGGGGAAGCCCAAGATACTTCGTCGGAAAAACACCAACCAAACACCCAATTGATTTTGCCCAATCTTTGACAGTTGATTCTTCCAAATTAATACCAAATATCTTACTCTTCGATAGATTTAACTGTAGCCCTGTACACATCTCGAAGACAACCAAAATCCTCTTAATATTCTTCAATTGGCATTCTGATGCGTTACAAAAAATTAGCAAATCATCGGCGAATTGCAAATGAGAGAGCGAGAAAGAACTATTAGAGCAACCGATTTGAAATCCATTAAACAAACCTAACTTTATCGCCTTGGACAACAAAAAATTTAGCAACTCTCCCACTAAATTAAATAACAACGGAGATACTGAGCATCCTTGGCGTAATCCCCTATATATGTTGAAGCTTCTTGTAGGAGATCCATTTACCAAAACTGAAATAGACTTTGAGGATAGAAACTTAAAGATCCAAGAATGCCATCTCTGCCCGAACCCCATAAACTCCATAATTTTGATTAAGAATCAACTGAATCGTAAGTTCTTCTGAAGTCCACTTTAAAAGCAATACCTTTCCACCCTTTCCTCCTCCAGTAATCGATGCCTTCATTCACTATAAAGGAGCAATCACAAATCTGCCTCCCTGGAACAAAAGCGAAATGAGAAGGGCCGATCAGCGAATCTATACACATCCTTAGTCTTCTTGTTAACACTTTGGTCTTAATTAATTGACAAGAATTCAGTGTTCTGTTTCACTTTTTATTGTATGAATACTGAAATCTGATTAATGACTTGTATCACATCATAACATCAGATATGCTATCTTTATAATTGTATTTCAGGGTGACTTAACCATAAGTTATTATCCCAACTGGAAATAAACAAATAGTAATTTGTACTTTGGTTGCTCATTTAGAAACTTCTTAGGCAGTAACATACACACCAATAAGGCAATAATTACTTGGGATATGGCCCTAACTCCTATGTTGAGTACAATACGTCATCGAGTCCATTTATTGGAAACAAATTAGTTTTCTTTCCATTGCTCCAAGCAAACTTTTTTCTTTGAAAAATTACCCCTCTTAGATGCTTTGTATGCTAAGAACTTAAAAAGATTATGCTAATTCAGTGTAGAGATTCCTAAGTTGCTTCTGTTCTCCTGACTTTCATTCTGGACTTAGGTGTCAGTAAACTATATTTGGGATTGATAGATTTGATAGGGTAAACCATGTGAATCATCCTTTATACCTGGGAGACTTTTCTTTTCTTAACCTGGCTTTAGTCTCAGTGATAAGTTCAAGCTGTGACATGTTGGAAGTGACATTCATTGAAAATGGACAATTGTTATGTTTTTTACTGTTCAGGTCATTTCGCATTGTGCCAAACCTCATTTCTTTGGTACTAGTGGAGGCACTGAAGATTCACTCACAGTGGATGACAAATTGTTTATTAATTCGACAACAAAAGGAAGTTTCTCTAACGTGTAATCCTTCTCTTTCTCTCTCTGTGTTAAATTGTTGAAGGGTGTCCTTGCATTCATCCAATGGAACTTTTTCCTAAAGACTCTAAGACCAATGATGCAAGAAATCATGTAGGCTTAAAATTATTTAAGTGGAATTTTTTTTTCTATTCTATAGGATTGATTAGGTAAGACTTACAACATTAATCTTTGCTTGCCTAAAATTATTCTCCAGTGCCTAAGAATATTATTATTTTGGATTGAAAAGGTTTAATCTCCATGGTGATTGAGTGGCTCAAATTCAGAGGTTTCCTTTCTTGTGTATAAGGATTTGAGTATTTGTAACCTAATCTTTCTGTATGTTCGGAATATAAGGTTTAAAAATAATAAGAATAGTCAAGGCTCAAAATATTTCATAGGGGTATGGCTATGGCCATTACGTGGGAAAACTTGGTTTGGAAGGTATTTTGTCCTGTATTATGGGTATTGCAAAAGCTTTCAATACTGTCCACTGATTTAGGTCAAGGTTTGGGAAAATATTAAGGACCAGTTGCAGGTTTCAAGTGCATTTGAAAGTTTTAGAAGAAAATATGACCTTGGTTCTACTAGGGCCTAGGGATACTGCTCCTTGGTGCAAACTCAAAAGAGCATGACTAGAACTTGATTTTTCATTATCAACATGTTTAATCTCTTGTATACTTCTTTAATATTTGATCGTTACCTGATTTCTTTGATTTTTCAGGCCTCTTGACATAAATGATTTTGATGACTCTAGTACAAAAGATGGATCCTATCATGAAACTGATATCTTTGAATCATTTGAGTGTTCATCTATGAGTAGTGTTGAAGAACATACTGAGTCTGAGCAGTTGATTGAACACTCTAATAATTTAGTTGGGCCTAAACAGAATTATTTCTCTGCACTAAGCTTTTCTGTTAGTACCCCAGTTTGTAACCCAATGCAACAAGCTTTTCAGAATGGAGAGTCTGAATATATGGAAAGTGGTTTACAGTCAGTAAGAACTGGTGGGCATGGCAGTTTTATAGGTTCTGAACCTGGTCTGATATATGAGCACTTATCTATGCACCTTGAGTCAAACTGGTTGTGTGCAGAAGCTGAATCTGCAAATATCCTACCTTCCAAAGGTTGTCCAGTTAATTGTGCATGGTTTAATGCTTTTTATATTGATGGGGATGACAGAGATGATAAAAGATTGCGTCAATTTAATTCTGGAAAACAGACGAGAAAATGTAACACACAATTCTTTGATAAATTTGTGCGACATTTTAATGAATCAATTGCTATTAACAAGACTTCAGCAGTGGACCTCTCAAATGAGGGTCAACTTGAAAAGGAGTCTACTTCAGAGTTATTCCAATTGCAACAGTTAGAGCTTACTTGCAATGGCAACCTTTTAAGTAAAAACCCAATGGTGGCAAACAATGGTTTTCTAGGTCTGATGAACAAACCTGGTGACTCAAGTGGCATACCTTGTTTTGATTTTTCTTCAGTTGATGACCCTTGTAAGGTTTATGTCAAAAGGCTAGCTTCTGGGGTTACACATGAATTTCCTGAGAATACCAATTCCGTGACAAACGGTACTGGTAATCAGGATGATAAACAAGGCTATGGAGGAGATGTTCTCTTGATTGACAATTCAAAAGGTTCTCATGCTGTTTCAACTTCGGAGTTAAAGAACGAAAACCAGGATGTCATTTCAACAACTGTTTCTGGTGGAAGTTATTGGGAGAGTTTGCTTGGTAGTTCTAGCAGCCCTTATGGCAGTAGGAATGGAGATATAAAACTGAATACATCGTCCACATTTGAGATACCACTTGACTTTGTAATTGACAAATGCCTACTGCAGGAAATCTTGCTTCAGTATCCTTTCTCATATTCTACCAGATGTAGAGGAAAGATGACCATATTTTCCAATTATTCTTTCTTTATGTTGGTTTATTGGTGCTTGGTATAAGTTCCAAACCTGAATTTCATTCATATAGAATGACTTGTTTTTCCTGCATTTACAATGTCCTTTGCTATTTGATTTCAGATGATTATAGATCTTCCTGTAGTGGTTTGTCCTAGAAAAAGTTGGGTGTCTAATATCCAAAGAGCAGATAATTAGTGATATAATTTAGTGGTTGTTACAATATATGCGATTTAAGATTTAAGATTTAATATTTATTCTTTTATCATGGAAAATGGAAACTTTTCTTCCTTCTCCAGCCCTCTCCGCCACCCAAAAAGAAAATCTATGAAAGATAATAATATATAAAATAACTTTAATTTGTGTCAAAGTCCTATACTTAGCTGTCAAGTGTAGATCAATTCTATATCCTATTCACGTTTCTATCTGGTGACAAATTTTATGCTGGATTGTGGTTTTTCTTAATTATTTAAGATATAACTATGTCAGCAAGTTAACCATCAAAATACTTGAAGAAGGTTTTGATTTGCAAGAACATTTGTTAGCACTGAGGCGATATCATTTTATGGAACTGGCAGACTGGGCGGATTTGTTTATTATGTCCCTTTCGCGTCATGTATGTCTGTCTATATTATAGTCACTTAAATGCTTTATCATTTGAATACTGTATGCTTTTTCAGAAAGATAGAAATGAATATTGATTACTTACAATCATTTCATTTTACATGGAACGAACAGAAATGTTGTGTTACAGAGGTGGAGCGGAGACTCTCTGAAATTCAAGGACTTCTTGAGTTGTCAGTGCAGAGGTCATCTTGTGACAGAGACCATCATAAAAATAGATTATTTATATATGCAAAAGGGCATGGGATGATGCCTCTTTCAACTTCTACAATTGGTACAATTTATCTTTAATTCATTATTGCAAGTCTTCTCCTTTATTTCTCAAAGAGTGCATTCTCAGATCCTACCTTTTCCCTCTGCTGCCACTTTCAACCTCCACATTAGAATTCATTTGATTTATCTATCATCTTAATTCTGATGGCTGTTAATATGGCAGGTGTTCATTCCTTTGACTTTTTAGGTCTTGGCTACCGAGTGGATTGGCCTGCCAGCATTATTTTGACTCCTAGTGCATTGAAAATATATTCCGATATATTCAACTTTCTGATTCAATTGAAGCTTGCTGTTTTTTCATTGACTGATGTATGGTGCTCATTAAAGGTAGAAAAGATATGTCCATTTACACATGCATATGATGTATGCAGACAAACATATATGATTTTTGGTAACGATTTCCCTTTCCCTCGAAAGCCACACCAAGTTGGTGATTAATTTCTTAAGCCAAAGCCAGTTGTTTTCATTCTTCTTGGGTTAAATATGTATATTCCAATTTATAGTTCTCTGTTTCAACTTCTCTCGGTAAGTGTTGGTAAATTGCACAATGTTCATCTATCTCGATATCGTTTCTCAGTGCTAAACTGAAAACTGAATCATCTTTAGTTCAATCCAATTTATTGTGTACTCCATATTTTGTCACATTTGATCCACACTGTTGTTAGAACATTGAATTTGCATTCACAATCTTTATATTGTACTCTCTGCGATTTTGCACTTGTCACATGGAAGACTGGATTTTGGCACTCAGAAATTCATATGAATTCACCTCTGATAATATTTAAATGTTTGTTACAGGATGTAGTGCAGTTGATCTGTCAAAAACGCTATCGTACTCTGCATGAACGAGAAGTGGGTCATTTTAACATGTTAATGAAGTTGAGGTATAATCAATTAGTCTACCCTTTAGTGTTTTTTATTACCAATAGTTATTAGTGCCCTTGTTGTCTCAGAGCAAAAACATTTCTCTCTTGACATGGTACATTTGAAATTTAGCTCAGAATTTAGCATTCACCGACTGTTCAGCTAATATTTTATTTCTTCCTCCTGCCTTGACTGCTGACAAGCATGGGCGGATAGGGAGGATTTTCTGATAGCTTTATTTTAAGAAGTGGAACTTTCTAAATAGTATTCCAATCTTCAAATTTTGTTAAAAAAATGTGAAGGTTCTTTTGGTGCAAGTGACCTTTTTTTGTCCCATTTTCCCCAAAATTTTGGTGCTAAAGTTAATCTACTTTCTAGTTTAAGGAACACAAACTGTTTCTTCATTTATAGATTACCTGGAGGATAGTAAAGTATCTAACGATTCTGTAGGAAAATAGAGAATTAGCCTAAAAGAGGGAGAGTGAATTACAATATCTACATTAACTTTGTTTTGTTTCTTTTCTATTCCAGGCATAAGGTCAATCATTTTGTATCTACATTACAGCAGTATGTACAGTCACAACTATCACATGTATCATGGTGCAAGTTTCTTCACTCCTTTAAGCACAAGGTTTAGGAAAATTCCTTTTCACATTGTGTGTTTATCTCTTCAGCCTATTGTGGTTCGGTTTACTTTATTGGTTTTTGTGCATTGCCTATTTGAAGCCAAGTCATTCTCTTCTTTGTTTGAGTCACAATTTAGTCAAGGACCTTCATTTTACCAATTTTACTGACATTATGGTTTTAAGTACAACATAGAAAAAAATGTAATCAGTATAGCTGACCCCTTGCAATGAGGAAAACATATGTTGTTTTTATTGTTTGGTAAGCAACTAAAATTTTTTCCAACCCTGCAAAAGAAGAAAATTTTACAGCAAAAGAAGAAAATTTTACAGCAAAACCTTATTTCAATTGAACAAATATTTAACTAGAAGAAAAAACTAAACCACGCTAGATTGATTTTTATGGAGTACCCATGTACCAACAAAGTTATGTTTTGATTTCCCGGCATTTTCCTCATCATCTAAAGCCTTCTTCATGGAGATTTTATATTTTTCTTTTCCTTATTATTTGTATAATTACAAAGCCTTAAAAACTAATTGATGAGCCACCGAATCTATTAATCCATGACAAAATGACCCGATGAAGTTTTCATCATACAATAACGAGAGCATTTTTTTCTATAGTTCTTTGCACTTGGTTTGTTAAGGAATGTATACTCGTGCTCTTGAATCATTTTGATCTCACACATCGTTGATTATGAGGTTTTAGTGTTAGCTTTCCCCCTTCCACGCATCAAGTGTTTGCCTTCTCTTAATATCCAACCACAAATGAAAAGCCTGTATATGATATGTTGTTTGTAAACTTTGAACCAGACCTCCTTACATCTAGAAGCCTGTGCACCTTTTAATCTTATAAAGTCATATGAATTCTTATTTCTCTTAATAGGATACCTGATCAACCTATCCTCTCCTGTTTGTCCAGATTAATCTTTAAATGTTTTCCCTGTAGACTATAGTCAAATAATTTTGTGGAAGCAAATATGAACTCAACTCCATCTCATATTTTAACGTGGCTAGGTTAACAATAAATTTTCAGTATTGCTTGAAAAATATCTTGTATTAAACCTTGACAATATGTCATTATTATGAAACTGGAACATTTGAATAAATCGGATGTGGCATATATTTATGCGTTTTATTATATTTTTATTTTCTACGTCTATTATTAGTCCATTTCCAAATTGATTTTTATTTAAGTCATCTCTTGAGGAGAAATTTATCTAGTTTGTTGCCATGTTATTGAGACTTGTTCATGGTTCTACAGGTCAAAGATATGATGGATCTTGACTCAGTGCACATGGCATATTTAACTGATTCACTAAATATGTAAGTGCTACTTCATTCTAGCTTGAAGTTTGAGCTTGCAGCTTACGTTTACCTTTTTATTTTACGGAGGAAAAAGGATCTTCTATACTAGTCATCTCTTGGATCTTAATGCCTTGATTTCCTTTGGGCCAAGTTTTTAACCTAGAACTGTATAAGGAACTTGGAACATGTCTATCGTGTTTCTCCAACAGCCTGCCCCTCAAATTGCTGGAGCTTCTTGCTTGTATATCAGTAATGCTTTATGTTAAGCATCCAATCTAGAATCAATTGGTAATAGGTGGAAGGATCCAACTTGACTTTAAGATGTAGGATAACACCGGTTAATGGCCTCCTCACATGAAACTTGACAAGGGCCTGTATATGGAAAACCTCGCCTGTGGTACAAAAGAATAAATTATTGGCTCTAATGACATATCAAGCATCAAATCTAAAAGCCAGTGGCGGATGTAAGTGTTGTCCAGGGTGGGCCAGTGCCCACTCTGAAATCCAAATTTCTTTATGTTGTCCATTTTATTGGTGGTACCTACCCTGAAATTTTATTTGTACCCACCCCATACGAAAAATTTATGTTATTAATATATATGTGCCCACCCTCAAAATATTTGTGAATCCTCACTGCTAAAAACAATCCACAATAAGTAGAAAGGTTCAACTTTGATATATAAGAGCAGAAGAAATTTTAGACTTAATGATGTGAGATAACACCTATTACCACGTTCAACCATTGATAATTTGTCCTTATGTTCTTCCAACTCTTCACTTTTTATTGAAGCATCCATGGCTGACGCAGATCGGGGGAATGGGTATGGAAATATGACCTTCTAAGGACCCTCCTGGAAAAGCTTAGAAATAATTGAACATACTATCCAGCTTGAACATTTTTTTATAAGAATAGGAAGCCTGGTTAAAAACTGTATTTGTTTTGATGCCACATTTAGTTTGAACCATAGATATAGTAGGCAGAATTACCTTTTCTAGCATGCTCATTGCATACTATTTTGGCCTTTTTTGGCTATGTGATAACTATGGATGATTCTTCATTGACATACATGTATACTTTGCAGATGTTTTCTATCTGATGAAACAAAAGCTATAGCCAGTACCATAGAGAATATTTTGCAGAGTGCCCTAGATTTCCGGTCTTGTCTTACTGGTGGTATATGGAACACGGGACTTGCACAAGACGATTTACTGGATAAACTTTCTAGGATCAATGTATCTCAGGTACTCATCAAACTATGGTCCATACTGCCTGCTGAAATCTGTTGCATGTTTTTTAAGTAAGCTTCTAAATCCAAACTTTTTCTTATTGCAAGTATTGCACTATGGCGGAGTTTAGTATTCCGGGAATGAACTCCTTCAATCGTAACTGTTTTCTATAAGATGCAGCCATTTAAGCATTCTTTGTCTCTGAATTACTGCACTGTGGTAACCAGGAGCCAAACACAGAATAAATCTTTCTATTATTAAAATGTTAAAGAGTAGACGCATGGGAATAGATTTTTGGATAATGTAGAGAAGTATTTGCAGCTATTATTAAAATGGACTTTTTCTTTCAGGTTCTTGCCATAAAAGAAAAGTTCGACAAAAATCTTAATGAACTGCATCTACTCTACCTCAAATCACCTAAACACGGTGAATCTGGGCTTTCCTGTTTCTGGGGATATCTCAACTATAATGATTACTACACAAACGAGAATGAAATGAGCTATTATGCTTTCTCAATCTGAAGTCTTTTCCATGAATATCAAAAGTGGGCAGTTATTTGTATTCTCGTGTGCCATAAGAGTTCATGAAACAAGCTCGAAGTAGAACTAGAAGTCCGTGGTTTGGATTCAGATAATTTGTTGGTGTCAAAGCAGCAGCCAACCTGCATCATAGCATCTTTGTTCTGCTGCTGTTGGTGTTCATGCGAGGTAAGGCATCAACCCTTTATTTAGTTGGTTATGGTGAAGCAGTAACGTGCAATTTTACATATGTTGTGTTTCTTGTCTCTTAATTTAAGGTAAAGTCTATTTTTTTCCTTGACCTGAACCCTGAGGGATAAGATAATTGTATGTTGTATTTTATTTTATTTTATTATGCTTTCGAGTTTCAACAATTTTCTATTCCTTGCCATTTCAATATTCTATAACAACAATTATATGCTGGTACCATGTTTAGTTCTCGATATTAAAAGTATTTTGAATTTGTATATGGCTATGATTCGTTTTATATCTATTTTAAGACGTGCATTTGTAATTTGTATTGTATTTTGTTTTATTATTTGTATTATCTTATCAATTTTAAGATGTGTGCATGAACCAAATTACTTTAGTGGTTAAAGGAGTGATTGTTATTCTTAGAGGATTCGGGATTTGAGTGCCAGCAACTGCAACATGGATGATTGAGCGTTCATTGTCAAATAGTTGAAAGTATTTAAAATAAATATTACTTTGTAATCTCCTTAGCTTAATAAAAAAATATTATGAGTTTTTATTTTATTTACATTTCGAGTGTGTTTGTAGGGATGTAGTATATTTTTTTCTTTTAAATTTTTAATTCATTTACTTTTACATTGATATGGAAAAGTAACAGTTTCCTTAAGTTACGTATTTACTTTCATAGATTTACTAATTTAGAATAATTATTTTAGGAAAGAATTCATAAATCAAATATAGAATGATTCTTCTTCTACATTTGACACTCGGCAATGAATACCATTAACATTGAACACCGATAAATTAATTTATAGAAGTTTAAATTTTAAAGGACTCAACGTATAATTATAAATTAGTTGTAAATTTAAAGATAAATTATTTAAAATAAAGGGTAAACTATATAAGTGATCACTATCTATTGTCCTTTTTCATTTTGATTTTTTTATTTTGACTATTATTTTTGAAATTTTGTCGATCATGTCGCTCAACTATTTATATGCATTCAATTAAGCTATTTGCTGTTAATATTTAATGGATAAGCTAATGTGTCAGTTAAAATATTTGACATAATTACACATTTTGTCACTATTACTTATATATTCTATCAATTTGATCATAATTTTAATAAATTAAAACAAATTTAACCCTTAAATCAAATGGAGTCATGTGTCGCTGGTGCCAAGTATAATGACATGTGTCAATGGTTCTAATTTTAACTTATTACATGGCAAACCGAAGAAAATGCCCAACAAAGTAACATCTTATAGTTGGAGTATTTTTGTGTACTTTACCCTTTATTTTATTTATAAATTTAGCTAAGATATCATTCTAAAAAGGATAAATTATATTGATTGTCATTAAACTTTTAATTTACTTTCATCATTATTATTATTTATTGTTAATAGAAAATGTTATCTTACACGTTAAAGTCTTATTTTCATAAAAAAATTAATTCATCAAATCGATTATCGTTTCAAAGGTTGATTTTTCGATGAATGGAACCATAATTGTTCAATATCAACAATTGTGAATCTAATAGATAACACAATTTGATTTCAAATTGATCTAATGAGTGATAATGGTGGATAAAAAGTTTGAATTTTTAATTTCTATTAGATTGTCGCTTCCTTTTGTTATCGTTTCTCTACTGTCGTTCAATGATTTCTTTAATTGAAAAGATTCCAAAACTATTAATTTATTCCAATCTTCTCGAATCTCGATATTAATCTTTTAATTAAATAAAATATTAACATCATTAAAATTGACTAACAATTACTTTATTCATAAAAAAAAACCCAGTTTTTTTTAAGGCAATTACGAATTTAAAAAAATAAGGTTCTTTTTAGGAAAGAAGACTATTGTTTTTAAAACATTAAATAAGTTAACTCATGATTGATTTTATTCGCACATGTGTTAGGTTTTTAAAAGGTTCTAGGTTAGATCAATAAAGAATCTAATGATTATCAAGATGAAAGTTTTAAATTCGTAATCCAAAATTTGAAATCTAAATTCCCAAATACTACCTCAGTAAACTTTTGAAATTCAAATATATAGTTAGTTTCTTGTTCATTGAAATCAATGGGAGCTGGATGATGGCATTGGGTTGAATTGAATGGTGGGCGAAAAAGGTCACGTTTTGCATAGTCAAATTGGCTTGTAATTTGTTTGTTACTAATACTAGCTTTGAAGGTTAAACTTGTTTTAATTTATTAAAATTAGGACCAAATGATATAATATATAAGTAACAGTGACCAATTGTGTAATTATGTTAAATATTTTAACTGTCACATTAGTTTCTCTGTTTAATATTAACGACAAGTATCTTAATTGAATTCATTTAAATAGTTGAGTGACTTGATTGACAAAATATCAAAAATAGTGCTCAAAATAAAAAGAGATAATAATTAGGTGATCATTGTTATAATTTATCCTTTATTTTAACTTTATAATTATACGTTGACGTGAACACCTTTAGAATTTTAAATTTTTAACTAACTTATAATTATATGTTGAGTTTTTTATAATTTTAAATTTTATAAATTAAATTAAGGATGTTCATCGTTACTTGTGTTCATCAATACTCATTGAACGTTTTAAAATTTTCCTAAAAGAATAGAAGTATTTTGGATATTTGTGAAATATGTTTTCAAATATTAGTTATACGATATTAAAAATTATTATTAGTTTGATCTTTTTATAATTTCAAGCCTGTTTCTATATATACAAAATCACTTATTTTATTTTTAAAATTATAAATACATAAAAAAAATTGTTTCGTTATAAATATTTTCTGTTCTTATTTCATGATTATAAATTTCAGTTTTCACTATTAATTTGATACTAAAAGTAAAGATTATAACAATTTTAAGTTTTTAATTAGTTACTCTTATTTATACCATAATATACACAAATTTTTTATTATTAGAAATTAAAAACAGAAATGAGACGAAAAACCTAAATTTTTAGATTAAATAACAAAAAATTATCCAATTATGAGAAAGTCGTGTTGACTAAGGATTCTTGTTAAAAAAATCTGCAGAAAACAGATGTCCAAAAAATCAAAAATCCTAAACCTTCCAATTACAAACTAAAACCTCTTTTCTTTCTTTTTCTTTTCTTTTTCTATTGCAAAATAAAAGCTTCAAGAAAGTTCATTTAGACACGCAAAAGGTTAGCAAGCAAAAACATATGGATCCGCATAAGCAAAGCGATTTCTTAACTCAGTCATTGACGCGGGATTCTACAACTCAGTGGACTCGTTTGGAGGATAAGCTGTTTGAGGATGCGCTGGTTATCTTCCACGAAGAAGCCTCTGATCGGTGGCAGAGGATTGCCGACAGGATTCCTGGAAAGTCGGCTAGAGAAGTGAAAGAGCATTTTGATGTGCTTGTACACGATGTTTACGAAATCGATGCCGGTCGAATTGAAGTTCCTAATTATGCTGATGATTCATCCGTGTTATCGTCAAGTTGTGATTCCGAAAATCAGATATCTTTCACTTCAAAATCTAAACAACATCAAGTAGACAACGAGAGAAAGAAAGGAACTCCGTGGACAGAAGAGGAACACAGGTATGTTAATTTTTGTTTTATATTCTTTTCGCTATTGAATTTTATAATAGAGTTTAAAATCTGGAAATGGTTTTATCAATAAAAGTGGTGTTTTAGGTGTACTGTATTGACTTTTAGTCAGTTTTGAGTTGTCAACAAGAAATGATTTATCTGAATCATTTTGTCAAAGGATTAAAACAAAAAGAAAGAAAACTCTTCATGAAGATTCTTATGCTACCTGTTCTCGTTTTATATTGAATTGAATGAATGATTACTTTCTTCTGCTCATTTTGACTGATATGACAAACAGGTTAAATCTTAATGAAGATTTTTGCATTTTATTGATCGACTTCGTTCGTAGAATTTTTAATCGACCATTCTGTTATTGATTGGGTATTTGGTGCTATTTTGATTCAAGTAGTTGTTCTCCTTTTATCGTTGGTTGAACTGAATGAATGATTTACTTTCTTCAGCTTACTTTTACTGATATATAACAATCGAATTAAACGTTCATAAAAAATTTTGCGTTTTATGGATTGATTTTGTTCATAGGATTGTTAATCTACTGTAATGTTTTTAATTCGATATTTGGTGCCAATTTGATGCTGCTACTTGTTTTATCTGTTGTTCAACTCAATGAATGATCGCCTTCTTCGGCTCATTTTTGTTGATATGTCGAACAGGTTATTTTTAATTGGTCTGCAGAAATTTGGTAAGGGTGATTGGCGGAGTATATCAAGAAACGTAGTGATAACTCGGACACCGACTCAAGTGGCTAGCCATGCTCAGAAATACTTTCTTAGACAGAGCTCCATAAGGAAGGAGAGGAAAAGATCGAGCATCCATGACATTACAACAGTCGACAACAGTATGGTCGATGCACCTGTTGAGCAAAATTGGGTGTCAAGTGGTCAGGCATCTTCACTGCAACAATTGCCCCGTCCAAACTACTTACCTTCCGATGATGGGTCCTTAATGTATCAAAACTATGGTTTTCCGATGTAGAGATAGATCAGAGCTCCAAACTCGGTATACATTTCTATTAACCCAAGTCCCTATCTATATTCATGTAAGCAATTTGTATATCTTGATGTTTAGTTTTGAGTTTTGATGTAATTGTAGCATGTAGCCATGTAATGAAAGTTGAAATCAAATAGTTTTAAAAGAACAGTATTTGTTAGATCAAAACATGTTAAGAAAAGGTAATGAGATCATTCGGAGACATTGGTGTTGCATGATTCGAGTGTTCGAGACAAATTCTTTATGCTTTAGCATAACTGTTTCAACTTCACCATCTTTTATCTCCTGCAGCTTGATACCATTGCAGGCTTATTCAATTCTTTGAACTTATCTGCAAGTTCACGTGTACCTAACTTTTCTTTCATGCAATATCCTATAGTGTGGCAGTGACCGAGGCTAGTCTCTATTGCTTCATTTTTCTTTCAAGTTCATCTTAATTCTCAATTGGTTTGGACAAACTTGGCTGTTATTTTGAATCTGTGGCATTGCAGATGGAGGTAAGCCTTCTAACATCGGAGACAACAAAAATGCAGACTGATATTCGAATGATCGTGTGGACTAATTCGAACGATTTAGAAGGACATGTTAGCTTGAATATGATACTACCTTGCATTACTTAAATTTAAAACGGATTCTCTGTAAGCTTTACTTTTTCATTTTTCAGTCTTAGTCTTTAATGTTGAACCGACCCTTGCTTTTTCTTAAAGTAGCTTGAATATATACTATGTAACATTAATTACATTGGTTGAATAGGAGTTTTTGTTCAAAGAATTGGGTCTGGGTTAGGCTTGGCCTATACACGGAGCTTGGGTTCAAGGTTTTTAAGTTGGGCCTGATTTGGTTCTTGAAAAATATATGATTAAAATATTTAAGCTCAAGGTGTTATTTTGCTCTTATAATAGATCTAATTTTTATTTATATGATATTTTCGTGTCAGTTTAGTCTTAAAAGTTATTTAATTGCATCATCTTAATCTTAAAGTTTAAACTCTAAATTCTAAACTTAAACTTTAAATCCTAACTAAATATTTTAAACATTGATATAATTAAACAATTTCGAGGTTAAATTAATGCGAAAAATATTATAAAAAGTAATCTGTAAGTAATCTGTAAGTATATTTATCTATAAATTTAAATTGTACGAATCTAAATGAAATTGATCATGTTCGTGGGAAAGCATTGAGACAACAAATAATTGGAGTTTTCTCGTTGTCTGTTTTAAATCTAACAGAACGTAAATATTAAAGCAATTTCAAAGAAATTTGAGTTTTTATGTTTTTGAAATTTTTTAATAATTTTATAGTGGTCTTCCCTTTATAACAGTAGCGCTAACGTTTGGGTTTTAGTTTTTTATAACTATTTATTTAATTAATAGTGAAAATAATTTTAAATTTATAATATTTGTTTTAGATCGAGTACGGGGGAAAGTCTAGGGATATTAGTGTGTATTTAAGGTTAAACAACAATAAATAACGGACGTAATTGAAAATGTTATAAAAGTATAATATTTTTTATAGAATACAATTTAAAATGATAATTTTTTTAATATTTTCGATTCAGTCACATTCAACATAAATATTATATTTTATCATATTTTTTTGTTGCATCTAACTTTTTTTTATTTTAAATTACACTATAGCATAATATAATTATCATGAGATATATATTGATTGACTTTTTTCACCCGAAATAGATATATATTAATATAATAATAATTTTGAATGAGTACGGATCTTTGATTGACAGGGATGCGTTGTTTAATAATTAAAAGAGAAAATCGCCTCAGTGACCAAAAGTACCTTATAATATACGATTTTAATCAACTTTTTTTGGATTTGCCAAAATGACCAATAAAATCGCAACGCGATATCAAAATCGCAACGCGATTTAGAAAATCGCAACGTTAAAAAGAAAATCGCAACGGTCAAAAGAAAATCGCAACGCGAGCTTCCAAGTTCGCAACGCGATTTAGAAGAAAATCGCAATGATTTTGATTGAATCGCAATGCGATTTATAGAATCGCAATGCGATTGAGAGAGTCGCAACGCGATTTAGAAGAAAATCGCAATGCGACTGAGAGAATCGCAATGCGACTGAGAGAATCGCAATGCGATTGAGAGAATCGCAACGCGATTTAGAAAATCGCAACGTTCAAAAGAATAGTTAAAAAAATTTTGTTTCTTAAGAATTTTCTCTAAAAAGATAGTATCCGCGCGGACGTGTCGAAGACACGTATTACCACGACACGACACGACACGACACGACACGACACGACCCGACCCGACCCGACCCGACCCGACCCGAGACGAGACGGCGGCGGCGGCGGCGCGCGAGAGTCCCCCTTGTCCTCTTTCACTCAACAAGGAAGTGCAAAATACAAGCCTTAAATATAATTCCCAATAGTGTTTCCAATACTATGTGGGATTGAGCATTACCAACACTTGTTCCCAATATCATTATTCTTCATAAGTTATCATCCATTACAATATGAATTATCGATAATAAATTAATTCATTTTAATAAGTATTTAAAATTATAACTTGATAAATACATGAAATAATTCTATTATTAAATAAAAAATATATTTTTTATATTAAAATTATTGAGATAGATATTTACTATAAAAGTAAAAGATTTTTTTTCACGTACAACCTCTATGTGAATTAGTTTCACAATAAGGTATCGGTTATGCATTGGATTCTTTCGTATTAGATGGTCTTTAATAAGCTCGCGTTGCGATTTTCTTTTGACCGTTGCGATTTTCTTTTTGACGTTGCGATTTTCTAAATCGCGTTGCGATTTTGATATCGCGTTGCGATTTTATTGGTCATTTTGGCAAATCCAAAAAAAATTGGTTAAAATCATATATTATAAGGTATTTTTGGTCACTGAGGCGATTTTCTCTAATTAAAAAGGATAATACCCAACATATTCAACTTCTTAATTGTACTTTATGTTTTTCTTAAAACATAAATTAGTCAACAATTTTGTTCATCAATAAAAAATATAATATACATTTATATATTAATTATTAATATGCGGATACAATCTATCGAATAAAATAGTACGATTTCGAAAATTATCTAAATAAATAAATTTTAATCATATAAATAAAGAAGAATTATAACTACAAGATAAATATTGGTAAGAAATCATGGAAAAGTAAGCATATACAATCAATTTAAAAGTTAGTTCCTTTAGTTATCGAAAAATATATATACAATATTTTAGATATTGATAAGGATGGACATGAGTCAGTTTAGGTTTTTGGTCCATCCAACTCGAGAATGAGAAATTTTCCACCCGAGATCCAACCTGACCCGATCAAAATAAGATTCCACCTGACCCAAACCCGACATGATATATAACTTAAAAACACGATTCGATCCGAAATAATAAAAAATATTATTTTTATTTAATAAAAATAGTGACTTAATTGGAAAAATATATATAGAGAGAGGTATTATTGTAATTATTTATAAATCTATAATGTAATATTATATATTTTGTTGGATATTTTTCACCCTAAACTCGAACACAACCCAACCCGAACATCACATTTAAAAAATTGACCGACCAGACCCCATTTTTTTTAAAAAAAAAAACTCGACACAACCCGATCGAGTCGGGTCGGATCGAAACCCATCAGGTTCGAATCCCATGTCCATCCATAGATATTGAAGGCAAGTTACGAAGAGCTTAACATTGAGTACAAAATCGATAAAAATGAATAAATATAAAAAGTATATAATACGATTTGAAGATAACCTAATCTATCTACTCTCAAAATTTGCAGAACCAAAAAAAATATTTAAATCATTAAATTTGGGGGACCAGGGATTAATTTGCGTATTTTTCAAATTATCATGGGCTTTAAAGACCAATTATGGAGATTTAAGGGCAATTTACACAGATGATCATTAATATTTGATTAAATTTTCATTTTTTCATTGAACTGTCAATAATAACACAAATGATCATTAATGTTATCGATTTGTAATAAAATAATCATTAGCATTATCGATTTATAATAAAATAGTCACTCTACCATCGTTCCCGTTAAATTGGTGATGTTGTAATGTTAACAAAAAGGGTAATGTTTAATTTTACTCCTAAACTACTACTAAAACATCAAATAGGTTCTTTATCGAAAAATATATATACAATAATTTAGATATTGATAAGGATGGGCATGGGTCGAGTTGGGTTTTTGGTCCACCCGACCCGAGAACAAGAAATTCGACCTGACCAAAACAAGATTTCACCCGTCCCAAACTCGACCCGATATATAACTTAAAAACACGATCCGACCTGAAATAATAAAAAATATTATTGTTATTCAATAAAAAATAGTGACTTAATTGGAAAAAAATATATAGAGAGGGGTATTATTATAATTATTCATAAATATATAAGTTAAGATTATATGTTTTTTTGGGTCGAGTCGGGTATTTTTCACTTTAAACCCGAACACAACCCGACCCAAATATCACATTAAAAAAAAACGACCCGACCCGACCCTGATTTAAAAAAAAAAATCGACACGACTCGATCGGGTCGAGTCGGAACCCATCAAGTTTGAATCTCATGCTCACCCCTAGATATTGAAGGCCAGTTACGAAGAGCTTAACATAGAGTACAAAATCGATAAAAAAAATGAATAAATATAAAAAGTATATAATACGATTTGAAGAGAACCTAAAAAAATTATTTAAATCATTAAATTTGGGGGACCAGGGATTAATTTGCGTATTTTTCACATTATCATGGACTTTAAAGACCAAATATGGAGATTTAAGGGCAATTTACACAAATGATCATTAATATTTGATTAAATTTTCGTTTTTTCATTGAACTGTCAACAATAACACAAATGATCATTAATGTTATCGATTTGTAACAAAAAAATCATTAACGTTATCGATTTATAATAAAATGGTCACTCCATCGTCATTCCCGTTAAATTGGTGATGTTGTAACGTTAACAAAAAGGGTAATGTTTAATTTTACTCCTAAACTACTACTAAAACATCAAATAGGTCATTTATCGAAAAATATATATACAATAATTTAGATATTGATAAGGATGGGCATGGGCATGGGTCGGGTTGGGTTTTTGGTCCACCCGACCCGAGAACAAGAAATTCTCCACCTGAGATTCGACCCAACCAAAACAAGATTCCACCCGACCCAAATCTGACCCGATATATAACTTAAAAACACGATCCAACCTAAAATAATGAAAATATTATTTGTATTAAATAGAAATAGTGAGTTAATTGGAAATATATATATATAGGGGTATTATTATAATTATTCCTAAATATATAAGATAAAATAATATATTTTTTGGGTCGGATCGGATATTTTTCACCCTAAACTCGAATACAACCCGACCTAAACATCACTTTAAAAAAAAGAACCCATAAGGTTCGAATCCTATGACCATTCCTAAATATTGAAGGCAAGTTACGAAGCGCTTACCATAGAGTACAAAATCGATAAAAATGAATAAATATAAAAAGTATATAATACGATTTGAAGAGAACCTAATCTATCTACTCTCAAAATTTGCAGAACCTAAAGAAAAAAATTTAAATCATTAAATTTGGGGGACCAGGGATTAATTTGCGTATTTTTCACATTATCATGGACTTTAAAGACCAATTAGGAGATTTAAGGGCAATTTACACAAATCATCATTAATATTTGATTAAATTTTCTTTTTTTCATTGAATTGTCAACAATAACACAAATGATCATTAATGTTATCGATTTGTAACAAAATAATCATTAGTCTTATCGATTTATAATAAAATGATCACTCCACCGTCATTCCCGTTAAATTGGTGATGTTGTAACGTTAACAAAAAGGGTAATGTTTAATTTTACTCCTAAACTACTACTAAAACATCAAATAGGTCCTTAAAGAATAATTTTATATCTAATTCACCCCACTAATTTTAAGGGCGTTCCGCCCCTGCCTGCACTGTTTGCTCGAAACAAAAGGTTGAGGACAGTATCAAGTCATATACTGAGGGGTGAAATGAGTGTTCGCCTTCTGCTCGAGTATCATGTTTTGTGCAAAAGCTTGCTCCATGATTTACTTGTTTGTATGTAAACGTGGATGACTTTGTGTATGATCAACGAATGGGGGTGTTGTTTCTTATTTTGAGTGGGGGAGATTAGAGCTCGAAGCAAATTCTGGGTCTTCGGCTCTTTACAAAATAAAGTTCAAATTTCTAGTCAATACGACAATACTTTTGATGCTTTAGATGAAAGCCTCACGCGTATGCTCCATATTTGGTCTTTATTAATTTGTTATTATAGTTGTAGGGTGTTTAAAAAAATCAGAAACTATAAAGTTTATGAAATAAATTAGATATAAAAATATCATTTAATGACCTATTTAATGTTTTAATATTAGTTTAGGGATGAAACTAAATATTAACATTTTATTAATGTTATTGCATCATCGATTTAACAAGAATAATAGTGAAGTAATAATTTTATTATAAATCGATAATATTAGTGACAATTGTTATAAATCAATAACGTTAAAGGTCAAATTATTACTTTTGGAACTTCAATAGGAAAAGTAAAAAAAAAAATAAACTATTAGTGACTATTTGTATAATTTAGATTAGATTTAATGGTGTGAATAATGGTTATTTTGTACGATAGTTAACTAATACCATTTTATTATGTAAAAATATTTACAACCGTAAGATAGGATAATATAATTATATAAAATTAAATCACTATTAGATTTATTTATAAATCTCAAATATGCCGTTGTCACGTCTCGAAGAAATAGACAAAGTTTCGAATATAATATTTGCAATAATATGTATTAATCGAGTTGAGATTGAATAATTGGTTTGATGGTAAAAAGATTATTGAGCCTACTAAAAAATAAGTTGATTTAGTGATGTGATATACTAGATCCTTTAAATAAGGTTAAAGGTTTGAATCTTGACAATTACGAATGGAACATACTGATTTGAAAAGATTATCCTTGTCTCTGCAGTACCTGACTCGAATTAATTGATCGAAATAAAATATTGTGATTATATACCAAAAATGAGTGTTGAGCGTTCACAAAAGACTTCAAACCATAATGATGATATTAAGTTTATGATTATTAATAAAAGAACTCAATAACTATAATTAATTTATTTTTTGGTATAACGACTTGTATATTATCTATAGATAGATTAATTTGGATCGATTATTGCAGAGGCAAGGACGACCCACTTAACCTAATTTATTTCATTCGCAATCAGGATTTGAACTTTTAATATTACTTAAAGAATTTAATATCTCGTCCCAATAGACTAACCGATTGTTGGTATAATTATTTTATTTTTAATAGAACAACAGAAAAGACCTCTGCTATTTTCCACAACTTGGGCTTGACTTTGCCTCCTCAAATATCCCAAATTGCATTTTCCTTCGTATTGGCCATCGTGTTTACTAGCATCAAATAAGCTCAACTTGTACTAATTTATTTCAATTCATATTAGCTTCAGTAATAATTTGGTTTATTAATTATATATAAAATTATATATAATTAATTCATCAAATTTTAATTATTATATAAAATAATATTTCTTCCCAGAATACTGAAATTTTCAAAGTTGTCTTTTTGAAAAGTAATCAAAGTTTATTTATTTCAAATATTAAAATATTATATATTTATAAATAATAAATGATTAATCTCGTTTCGATGATATCATTTGGATCACTGAGATTAAATTGAATTAAAAATTATATATACATATAAATAAAAATATATATTTTATCTCGTAATAATATATTTTTATACACAATTAATGAATTATATATTAATAATTAATTTGTTTAGTGCTATAAGTAATTAGATCTCTTGAGCAATTTAGAAGTTCGAATCATGACACTGTAAATGGAATATATTAAAAATGAGAGGGTCGCCATATATAAATGAACTTTTGTACTATTTGATATAGATTAATTGATTGATAAATCAAATATAAATTTTAAACCAAAAAATAAATTAATTTATAACATATCATTAAAAATAAATTAAAATAAAACTTCTATATAAATAATTATTTTACAATAAATTTTTCATTCAAATTATATAATTATCATATTACACATTTACATGTAATAACTAAATACAATATTAATATTTTTATAATAAATAATGATTTTCAGTAAATTATAATTTTTTACACGAATAAATTTATCTTAGCGGTTAAAGAAATCATTATTATTTTTAGAGGTCACGTATTCGCGTCAAAGACGGAAAGAGTAATTAAACACTCACTCTCAAATGATTAAGAATATTTATAACATAATATATTAATTTATAATCACCGTAATTTAAAAAAATAATTAATTATTTCTCTTTCCTGCAATCTTTATTTCTTTATTATTTAATAGGGGAGATGGAATGCGCAGATACGCATATTGTGAAGGACTTGCATCATTCCTGAGCAACGGAGGCTCCTTTTTTTTTAATTATATTAATATTTTATTGACAATTATTGCCTTTATAATAGGCGAATCCAAACCAAACCAAACCAAACCAAACCAAACCAATCCATCACATTCACAGTAGCATCAGTTTCAATCATCGAGTTGCTTGAGGGAGAGAAATGGGGGAGGTAGCCGCCGAAGAAGAAAGAAAGCAGAGCTTGATTTTCGCTATTAATGGAGAAAGGTACGAGTTATCTGAGTCCGATATAGATCCTTCCATTACTTTGCTCGAGTTCTTGCGATACCGCACTCCCTTCAAGAGTGTCAAGCTCGGCTGCGGTGAAGGTAATTGATTAATTAATTTGTTTTCCTTTATTCTCTCTCGATCTCGATCTCTTTTTTCATTTTTTGCCATTGGATTTATACAGTTTCTTTACGAGTGCAATCTCTTAAATACACCTAACACTTAAAAAATAGACATTCATTCCTAATAATCATCTCGTATTTGAATCATAACTAATAAGAAATATGTTTTGAGTTTTTAATTTTGAACAACTTCTTTTGCTTTATTGGATTGAATATGATCCAAAAAGCAGATCCATTCAATTCTGATCAGCTTTCGGAATGATCGAGTTAATTTGAAACCCCGGGAAAAATATCAAGGACTGAACTCAATACCTTTTCTTTTAATAAAAAAAATGCTAACCACGAAACTCAATACCATAATAGTAAGAATCAAAAACAGAATTCATGATCCGAATCCTTATTACTCGGGTTTGAAGTAAAATTTGAAATTTGATCTGCTGAAGTAGAGATGTATGCATTGATCATGAACTAGACCATGACATTTCATTAAGAATTAAAAGAAATTCAGTTTAAATATGATTATTTTATAATATTTTTAAAAGAATTAAAAATTTTAATAATAAAACATATATTTAATATATTAATAATATTTGATTTTATATATAAAAATAAAAATAAAAATGACGATGCTTAAAAATTAAATTATTACTATTAGTCTTTATGGCTTTGTTGGTGCGGATACAGTGGTTCCGACTTCTGCTGCATTTTGTTTTATTGTTATCCTTTCATTATATTATTAAGGGTAAACTACGCTATTAGTATTCAAAATATCAGTTATAATTCGTTTTACTATCTAAACTTTTAATTTTTCAGAATTATACATAATTTAATTTTTGTTTTATTTTAGTGCTCATGTTCAAAATTTAACATTAATTTTTTTAAAAAATTAAAAGTTTAAGTATTAAAATGGACCAAAATTAATAGTTTAAATATTATGTTGGATTGGAACAATTTAAGGGAACCTACACTAATTGTCACCAAACTTTTGAAATTTAGGATCTTAACATTTAATTCTAATGGCTAACCCGCTGCACCAAATTAAAACTACTGCGATGATGATAAAATAATATTTATGTTAACTATCACTAATGCTACATTAATTGTCGTTAACAATACCAAAATGAAAATATTTTTAAAATTTAGTGACTAATATAAGTTTTAAAAATTTGGTAACCAAAGTATAAGACCTTAAAAATTTAATGACCATTCATATAATTTACCATAAGTATTTATTACTACTAATGTATTATAATTTCTTAACGGGGACAATTTTTTTGACACTGGAACAAATTCCCCATCAGTGAATGGATTTTCTTATTCTAAATTTAAATTTTACATATATTTCCATAAAAAATCATTTTCTGTCATGGACTTTCATATTTATTACTTTCTTTAGGGTTTCACATTTATTGCTATATTAAGAGTATGGTGGGAAGAAAATTTATGGTTTGTGTGGATAATTTTGCTTGCGTTTGGTGACAGTTGGCTTTACGTCAAATTTGGCGATAATTTATTTCTGAAGTAGACTGATAGTAGATATATAAACAGACCATGTTGCCAAGATTGAACCCAAACTATCTATTCTGACGTCACCCATTAATCCCAAAGTTCGGCTTTTCATTTTAAACTTTTAGTCTTATCTCCAACACTATCTCTACGTTACCACCAACTATACTTTATTCATAATATTTAATTATTAATATATTTATTTATCTAATTTCAATGTATTTTTATCTATCTTGTAATTTAATCTACTTGAATTTATTATATTATATTTATTTTTTATTTTATTATGTAAAAATTATAATAAAAAACAAAAAAGATAGAATAAGAGAAAATAATGTAACGAAGAAAAGAAAAAAAAGAAAATAACAAAATAAAAAAAATCATAAAAAAACAAAAAAATATAGCTAAACTACAGTGCAACTCTAGATGTAAAGTATCACTGTAGCTTTTATCTACTCTAACGTTGAAAGTAGATATGGACATAAATTGAAATTCATCTCTAAAGTAGAGATTTTATTTACTCTAACGATGCGCTGAAGATGATATTTTAGGACACGTCCAAATTTAGAAGGGAATAAAACAAGGTTTAGCCCATGATATTCAAATATTTTTCATATTAGTCTTGAATTTCAACAATTCTATTCATCTTAATGAAATCTAAAATTAAGATTAAATTAATTTGAAAGAAAATAAATAATTAAGTTGAAAAATTTATTAAATTTAAGGGCTAAATGTTTTATCCTTGAAAAACATAAATTAATGATGTAATTTCCTTTTTTTAAAAAAATTAATATGAACTTAAGCACAATATGGATAATATTGTTTGAATATAGGTCAACTAGGGAGCATGATATAGGCAAAACTCGTGTTAATACTCAATTGAAGGAAAAGAAAATAATAAAAATGCTTAATTTAAAAATAAATCTATAGATTGTATTAATTTTTTATTTAGATATTTAAAATATATTGTCTTTTTTTTGTTTAAGTATTGAAAGATTTTTTTTTGGTCAAATTAGGTACTTAAAGAAATTTTCTTATAAATACTTAGGTTAGTACCTATTTCATCTTGATATTTAAAATATTTATTTTAGTTAAAGTAAGTATCTAAAATATATCACATTTTTTATTTAGATTCTTAAAATTCTAATATGATATGATTGAAAAGTACTTTAAATACCTAGATGAAAAAGATGGTATATTTAAGATATATACTTTCATAAATATATAAAAAAGGCGAGTATTTAAATATTTAATTTGTTCAAAAATACTTTTACTACTTAGATAAAAAAAACATATTTTAAGTTCTTATTTTTAATTAAACTTTACTTCCTACTCACAGAAAGCTTTCTCATAACATAAAACAGCTGACCATATAAAATTATAAATATTGACACGGAAGATAAAAGAAATTAGCCAGTAGTTTGCTGTTTCCAATCAATTCTTTAAATATGGAAAGTTTCTTTCTTTCCTGCGAGTTCAGCGCTGCAATTACTGATTAAGCATTCAGTTCAGAATTTTTGGTTTTATCACATAGCATAGAGAGGAAGTCAGTTGGACCTATAATATCATGTCGCCATCTGTTTGTTTATTGTACTGAAACTGAGGTTAATGGATATATTTGTTTATGTCGCCATCTGTTTAGCATATACTCTTGGGTTCTACTGTTTTCTGTTATAAAAGTTGCTGGAAAACAAGTTTAACAGTCTTGTTTTAGGGAGTTCGCATTCATCAGTTCCAAATAATATTCAATCGTTGGCCTTTTTTGTTTCCTGTGTAACAGGAGGCTGTGGTGCCTGCATTGTCCTACTGTCCAAGTATGATCCAGTGCTTGACCGGGTCGAGGATTCGACCGTCAGTTCATGCCTCACGTTAGTTTGCAGTTTGAATGGATGCTCAATTACGACAGCTGAGGGAGTTGGGAATAGCAAGGATGGCTTCCACCCTATTCAAGAACGATTCGTTGGATTCCATGCTTCTCAATGTGGCTTTTGTACTCCTGGAATGTGTGTTTCTATGTTTTCAGCACTTGTAAATGCTGAAAAGCGTAATAGGTCCAAACCCCGTCCTGGATTTTCCAATCTAACAGTTTCCGAAGCTGAAAAGGCCATTGCAGGCAATCTTTGTCGCTGTACCGGTTATCGTCCGATTGCCGACGCTTGTAAAAGTTTTGCTGCTGATGTTGATATGGAAGACTTGGGATATAATTCCTTTTGGAAAAAAGGAGAAAGTGATGAAGAAAAGATGAGTAGATTACCTAAATACAATCGCAATTCTTCGAGTCCTAAGTTTCCCGAGTTCCTCAAGAAGGAAATCAAGGCAGGTGCTGATCTGACTTCTAAAGGATATCATTGGTATAGTCCTTCAAGCATCGAGAAACTTCAAAGCATATTGAAAAATATTGAGGCAAACGATGGAACCTCAATGAAGATTGTTGTTGGTAACACAGGAACGGGATATTACAAGGAAGTAGAACACTATGACAATTATATAGATTTAAAGTATATTCCCGAACTCTCAACCATTGTGAAAGACCAGACTGGGATTGAAATAGGAGCAGCTGTGACTATTTCGAAGGCCATCGAAGTGCTTGAGCAAGAAAATGTGAGTGATTCTCCCGTAGAAAATAAAACTGTGTTTAAGAAAATTGCTGAACATATGGAGAAGATAGCATCAGGGTTCGTAAGGAATTCAGGTAGTGTGGGAGGAAACTTGATGATGGTACAAAGGAAACAATTTCCATCAGATATTGCTACCATACTACTTCCTGTGGATGCAATAGTGAATCTAATGGTCGGTCAGAAACTTGAAAAGCTTACACTTGAAGATTTCCTTGGAAGGCCTCCTTTGGATTCCAGAGCCATTCTGTTAAGCATTAAAATTCCGGTCTGGGAGTTAACAAAGGATATTTCATCTGAAACTGATACTATGTTCCTATTCGAAACTTATCGTGCTGCAGCACGTCCTCTTGGAAATGCACTGCCCTATTTGAATGCTGCTTTCTTGGCTAAGGTTTCATTTTGTAGAAATTCTACTGGTGCCATCCTAAATACCTGTCGGTTATCTTTCGGTGCTTTTGCGTCGAAGCATCCTGTTAGAGCGAGGAACGTCGAGGAATTTCTGATCGGAAAGGTTCTAAGCGTTGGTCTCATGTATGAGGCTGTTAAATTACTTGAGACCACAGTAATACCAAAAGATGGCATCTCTCATTCTGCTTACAAGTCAAGTTTGGCTGTTGGCTTTCTCTTTGAGTTCCTGAGCCCCTTAATTAACGCCCCTGATCAAATTTCAGGTGGTTTGTGCGACGGAGATAATTGTTATATGTTAAAGGACAGTTCCAAAATAAAAGAGAACAATTACAAGTTAAATGGAACCAAATTTCCAACGTTGTTGTCTTCTTCAAAACAGAACATTCAGTCCAGTGACGAATACCGTCCAGTTGGGCAGCCAGTTACCAAAGTCGGAGCTACCATTCAAGCTTCTGGTTTGTCATACCTTATTCATTTACTCATAGCCTCAGCCATCAGTTCAAAAATTTTAAATTTTAGTTTTCTCTACACAACCAAACTGTATTCTCACTCAGATAACCATGTAGGTGAGGCCGTTTTCGTGGATGACATTCCAGCTCCGGGAAATTGCCTGTATGGAGCATTTGTTTATAGCACAGAGCCACTAGCTCGGGTGAAAAGCATAACATTTAAGTCCGAGTCACCACCGGTCGGAATCACTGCACTCATTTGTGTCAAAGACATTCCAGGGAAGAATTTAGGTTGTACATCCGTATTTGGTGAAGAACCGCTGTATGCAGACGAGTTTGCTCAATTTGCAGGAGATCGGATTGCCTTTGTGGTAAATCATTGATTTCATTATTGTTGATGCAGTGAAATACTAATTGTTTTTTTCAGTACAGGCTTTTATGCACAGTCTCATTATAAAAATGGCAGTTTCACTTTTTAAGAACTTGATTGAAATGATTCCTTCAGGTTGCAGATACACAGAAACATGCAGACTTGGCAGCAAACCTTGCAGTGATTGATTATGACAAGGAGAATATAAGCCCACCAATTCTAACCGTCGAAGAGGCTGTTGAGAGAGGCAGCTTTTTTCAGGTCCCTTTCGCTAAGCCTGAACAGGTTGGTGATTTTTCTGAAGGAATGGCTGAAGCCGACCGCCAAATTCTCTCCGCCGAGGTAATTTTCAGACTTCATTACTACTTATGCTTCCTCTTTCATTCTGTATCGTTTTATTATACATGATGATACTGCCGATTGCACAGACTGATCACTTTGTAGAGTTACTCGTTGATTATGGAAATGTTCAAATATTATTTTTGAATTGTTTCATGTAGATCAAACTTGGGTCACAATACTATTTCTATATGGAGACACAAACTGCTCTTGCTGTGCCGGATGAAGATAACAGCATGGTGGTGTACACTTCCACTCAATGCCCTCAAATTGCACAGGAAACAATTGCTCAATGTCTCGGTCTTCCAGCGAATAACATTCGTGTGATTACAAGAAGACTTGGAGGAGGTTTCGGTGGAAAGTCCTTAAGAGCAGTCTCTGTGAGTATCATTTAGCTTTAAATTTATTGTTCCTTCCCCTCCCCCCCCCCCCCCCGCTAAAAGCCTTTCACAATTGCTTTAATGGAACTCTTTAAGCTTCTGATTAATATAGCTTCTACTTTTTATGGTTTATATATAATTTTATAGTCTCCAGTCTATATTTATCTTTGAAATTTTATGCCATCATATAGGTTGCTACAGCCTGTGCAGTTGCAGCTTACAAATTACAACGTCCAGTTCGGGTGTATGTGAATCGCAAGACTGATATGATAATGGCAGGAGGGAGGCATCCGATGAAAATAACATACAGTGTAGGATTCAAAGATAGTGGGAAGATTACAGCCCTTAAACTCGATATATTAATTGATGCGGGGATATTTCCAGATGTGAGTATAGTTATGCCTGGTGCCATAGTTGGGTCTCTTAAAAAATATGACTGGGGTGCTTTGAGTTTTGATATAAAACTCTGCAAAACAAATCTACCTAGCAGATCTGCGATGAGGGGCCCTGGGGAGGTTCAGGCAGCTTTCATTGCCGAAGCCATAATTGAACATGTAGCATCCACGCTTTCCATTGAAGTTGACACCGTCCGAAGTATCAATCTCCATACATATAACAGCCTCGGATTATTTTACAAGAGTGCTGCAGGTGAACCATCGGAGTATACTTTACCTGCAGTATGGGATAAGTTGGCCACGTCTTCAAGCTTTCACCAGAGGATTGAAATGATAGAGGAATTCAACAGGAGTAATAAATGGAGGAAACGCGGGATTTCACGTGTGCCGGTCCTACAAGAAGTGACTGTGAGGCCAACCCCTGCGAAAGTAAGCATCTTAAGAGATGGATCCATTGCTGTTGAAGTTGGAGGGGTTGATATGGGTCAGGGTCTATGGACCAAAGTGAAACAAGTGGCTGCATATGGTCTTGGTTTAATCAAACGTGGTGGCACCGAAGAGCTGTTGGAGAAAGTAAGAGTCATTCAATCTGATACTTTGAGTTTGATTCAAGGGGGTTTCACTGGTGGCAGCACAACATCTGAATCGAGCTGTGAAGCAGTTAGACTTTGTTGCAACGTCTTGGTTGAGAGACTTACTGCTCTCAAGGAACAGTTGATGGAACAAACGGGAACTCTTGAATGGGAAACATTGATTCTTCAGGTATGAAGTATGAAATGAGACTTACTGCTTTAATATCAAATTCATGTAATTAAATTCGAACTTATCTCAAATTGAACCAGTCATCGAGTCGGAAACTGAATCCCCTACAGCTTCAATCTCCAGTCCACTTTTTAGAATACTACCTATGGACTATGGTATCCGTTTTGTTTCACCATCTTCATTTTACATTCAATGCAGGCATATCAAACTTCTGTGAACTTATCTGCAAGTACACTTTTTATACCTGAGTTTACTTCAATGCAGTACCTAAATTATGGTGCTGCAGTGAGTGAGGCAAGTTTCTATATATCCCCTCTTTCTTTAAATTTAAAGCAGTCTTTTTTTTAAGCTCATTTACATACTATTTGCTCTTATTTTTTTCAAGTATCTATGTCAGACAGTTGTGTCTAAGACATTTTAAGAATGAGTGTGAAGATATAATTCTTTGAGAACCCTCTAAATGCATGAAATATTTTAAAAAATAAGCATACGAAATGGTAGGCGTATTCTTATTCGACGCTCGTCATCTTACGTCTGAGCCATATTCATCATTTGCATAACAAATTTTACCTGCTTCATATTTACTAATGGTGAAGATATGGCATTTGCAGGTGGAAGTAAACCTTCTAACCGGGGAAACCACAATTTTACGCTCAGATATCATTTATGACTGCGGCCAAAGTTTGAATCCTGCTGTGGATTTAGGACAGGTTAGCCTGTGTCTTACAATCTGAACTTCTCTATTTGTATTCAATATTTGATCTTTTAACATATTTAGACATGATACAAGAGTACCGACTCTAAAAGCAAACATGTTCTGCAGATCGAAGGAGCTTATGTTCAAGGAATTGGATTCTTTATGTTTGAAGAATACCCCACAAGCTCGAATGGATTAGTGACAACAAATGGAACATGGAGTTATAAAGTCCCTACACTGGACACCATTCCCAAACAATTCAACGTCGAAATCCTCAACAGCGGACATCATCAGAAACGTGTGCTTTCTTCAAAAGGCAAGCTTTTAAAATTCTCATCAAAGTTCATGTCCTTTTTAAAAATAAAAATAAAAATTGGTAATCAACAAAGTTCGTCGACTCTTGTTTTGCAGCATCCGGTGAGCCGCCATTAACGCTGGCGGTTTCAGTTCACTGTGCTACAAGGGCTGCCATAGCTGAAGCCAGGCGGCAACTTGGTTTATGGAATAGAGTAGACGACTCTAATTCAAGAGCATTCCAATTGGAGGTTCCAGCAGTGATGCCGGTTGTGAAAGAGCGGTGCGGGTTTGACAGCGTCCAGAAGTTCTTGCAATGGACAATGGGCACAAAGTGACGCAATTCTACTGCCTGTTTGCTTCAGTTTTAGCTTCGGCGTGTGTACATCGCCATAAGTTATGTTGAAGAGGAGACGTCAAAGTACTTCTGAATATAAATTTTCCTACTATTGAATTAGAGACATTTTTGTCTTTGTACGTTTAAAAAATAAATATTTTGATTAAAATACTAATTTATTGTTAATTGAACTAAAATATTTTGATTGAATAACTTAATTAAATTTTAAAAAATTAAAAATAAATAAATTATATCAGTAAATTTCAAATATGAAATTTGCTAAAAAAATTAATATTATTACTTTATATCAATTAAAAATTATCCTATTGGTATTTTAATTCTTTATAAATTAATCCATTAGTTTTTCTTATTTACTTTATTCAAATTAGAATTTTGTTTCTTCATATTTTACATGATAAATATTTCTTAGATTAATTTTCTCTCCATTTAAAAAGATTACTGTAATTTAGTTTTCAAACTTATTTATGGCTCCAAACTATCTCAATTATATCAAATAATTTTCTAGAATTTTTATTTTTGTCTTTTAAATTAATACCAAAGGGAGAAATTTATTGATAATATATTTTTTTTGTCCTTTAGTTTCAAGGTGTCATCTTGTTTAATTTGGACCGACCCGAGTCACACATCTAACTTTGGTGGGTGAATCTCCCAATAAAGTTTTTTTTTTGCATACACAATGACTCGAACTTGAAAATTTACTTAAACGATATCAACTGCTTATTACTTGAACCAACCCCATTGATGGTGATATAAAATTTTAAATAATGTAAATATATGACAGATGGTAAATTTAGAAACATTTTTTATAACCAAAGGTTCATAAACATTAAATCCTCAAAGTTTTATCACATTTTTAACATTTAAAAAAAATCTAAATCTAATTTCGCTTAACTTAAAAATAAGTGTTCAAACTATACAAAGTTAATTTTATGAGCCTAAAGTATTTTTCACTAAAAATAGGTGCTTAATATTTTAAGCATTACGCTTTTAGCTGCTTTGACCGTCACAGTCATTAAATTTGGTAGTTATCTGCGTCAGTTATGTAACTTTTTAAAAAATATATTAAAAACATAAAACTATTTTTTTTTAAAAACTATTTTTTTGAAATTATAAAAAACCCCAAAATCCAAAAGAAAAATCCGAATTCAATCCCCTCACCACCATTACCTGCCACAATCGCCGCCAATCGGCTGAAATCTCTACGAAGTGCAACCGTCCGAACACCAACGGTTGAACCTCCATGCTTTAAGTGACGATTGCAACGAAAAGTGGGTGTAAGGGTGATGATTCCAGGGATTCAAGCAACGATTCCTCCAATCGTGCATTGGAATCATGATAGATGAAGTGGTCGACGGCAAAGGGTGACGACCAAGGCAACATTAGAGGCGGACGGAAAAGGGGCTTGGGATTAGGGTTTCTAGAATTTTGGGTTTTTTTAGATTTAAGAAAAATTTGGATTTTTTAATGAATAAAATATATTGTTTTATTTTAAAATATTATTTTTTAAATTTTTATAAGTCTGACATATATCACTTAACGGTCAAATTTAACGGAAAACAATTAAAAGTGTAACGTAGGATACGTCAGGCACATAATTTTAACGAAAAATATTTTAGACAATTAAAGATAACTTTGGATATACTTTGGTCACTTATTTTTGCAATAAGCAATCTAATTGTTATGAACTAAATATCCGAAGATTTGGTTCACTGGTGACTTTGTTTGCTGACCAGAACAAATAAAATAAAGAATGATTCTAAAGCAAAACCATAACAGACCTAAGAATTAGATAATCAAACATACAAATAATATCTCTTGCAATTTATCTAAAATTTCTAGTTGAAATATTCTCACTTCCACTATTACATTTCTCTTATAAATTTGTCGTTCTTAAACAGACTCCATTACGAATTTTTTAGCAATCTACTGACTATCTAAGGTTGATTTTCTCTTCATTTTCCCTATGCTTTAACTATTTTCTTAGCTTTGAGTGTAATTTTCATTGCAGCTTAGATTTTTCTTTTGATTCTTTTAGTTTTGGAAATGAAAACCTGTTCTTCATTTTTTTAGTAAAAGAAATTCAAAAAATTCACTAAACATTAACTTTTGTTTTTGTTTTTCGTCTTGTGATTTGTCTTTATACCAGCAGGAATCGATTTGAACAATTCAAACATGGCAAAAACATCAGCCCCTTTAGCGGCATTTCTTCTTTCCAGTTTCTTGGTTGTCACGGCACGTGCAGCAGATGAGTACATGAAATACAAGGACCCCAAGCAGCCGATTAGCAAGCGGATTCGGGACCTCTTGAAACGAATGAATCTCGATGTAAAGATTGGTGAGATGGTACAAATCGACCGTCAAGTAGCCACTGCAGAGGTCATGAGGGACTACAAAATCGGCAGCATCTTAAGTGGAGGAGGAAGCGTACCACGCCTTCAAGCCACCCTGCAAGAATGGATCAACATGGTTAATAGTTTCCAAAATGGTTCACTCTCAACCAGGCTAGGGATTCCAATGATTTATGGCATTGATGCTGTCCATGGACATAACAATGTGTATAACGCCACCATATTTCCTCATAACGTTGGCCTTGGTGCTACAAGGTAAGATCTATTTTTCTTCAGTTTCTTCCACTGCAAGTTAAATCTTCGTTTATAGCTTTCGAAGACAATTACAATAATTTTTGTGATAAATCTCCATTTTTATAGGGATCCTGATCTTGTGAAGAGGATTGGATCTGCAACAGCTCCTGAAGTTAGAGCTACTGGCATAAACTATGTTTTTGCACCTTGTGTTGGTAACGCAAAGTACACTATCCCACATTGAGTGGAAAATACCACTATAACAATGCATTTGGATCCCTATCCAACACAGATAATTTTAATTATTAGCTAATTTATTAGCTGTTGTTTAATTTCTGGAAATTTATTAGTTGTTGTTTGAATGAATTTGGATGCTTTCACAGCTATGTTCAAAGCAATGATCAACTGTTTAATTATGCCAGTTACAAGAGTTATAACATGAGTTATAACAGTAATTACTAGAGAGTAACATAAGTAATTACATATGTTACAAAAGGCTGAATATGAATGAAAGAATTTGGACTGTTTTGGGGCCAAATTCATCTGTGAATTATAATAGTTTTAATACAGAAATTATTCTGATTTTTTGTTGGACCATTTTGCCCTTATCGCACAACCTATAAATAGAGATGCTTTGCAAGCTTCTCAGCTCACCAATTCACCCTCAAACATCTCTCATTCTCTCAAAGTTTTCTAAGCTTTTAAATATTTTTGGTGATCAGAGGAGCAATACCACCGTAGTTCACTTCGGTTTCGGGTGTACGAGATTTCAGAGCGACCGTGTTAACCTCGGGGGACAATCCGCCTGTAGCAGTGATTACACACATCGAGGCGAATTTGTTTCTAAGGTAGTGATTATCACCATGACACAGTTTCGGTTGATTCCATTATTTATTTAGTATACATTTCCAACAATTTAGAAACAAATTAATTACGGCAAAATGTTGACACCACTAAGCAAGTTGATCCTTGATTTGTCCAAACTCGATGCACTAGACGACTCTAATCATCAAAGGTGGTCCCAACGGATTCTCATTTTCTTCGAGCAGCTTGATCTCGATTATATGTTGTTGAAGCTGTCACCACCTACTTCGAGGGCTACTCCAGCTGCGACTGTTGTTACTGGTGATGAAACCGCACCTGGTGTTGTCGTCGCTTTTGCCACTACTGCTGCTATCGTTGTTGCTATCAAGAAGTATGAGAAAGATGACAAGACGGTACGAGGCCACCTCCTAAGCCACATGTCGAACAAGCTCATCGACATGTTCCTCAAAGAAAAAATGCCAATGTCATATGGAACATGCTCGAGAAAAAGTATGGCCCTGACGATGCGGGCATCAAAAAGTACGTCATTGGCGAGTGGCTGCGATTCCAAATGACTGATGACAAGTCGATTATGGACCAAGTCCATGATTACGAAAATATGGTCTCTGACATCCTTGCTGAAGGAATGCAAATGTGCGACGTACTGTAAGCCAATGTCCTGATCGAGAAGCTGCCCAAGTCCTGGTCCGATTATCGCAACTCTCTCAAACATAAAAAGGAAGACAATTCACTTGAGGAGCTAGTGGGCCACATGAAAATAAAGGAGGCTATCCGATTAAAGGATAAGGTTACTAACTCTATTGGTAATTTATCCTTTAAAGCTAACTTGGTTGAATTTGGTACTGCCTCAGGGTCTAAATATAAAAGGACCACGAAAAAGGGGAATCAGAACAAGAAGACCAAGCCGCAAAAGGGCACCAACTTCAAGAAATCGGGAAAGCCCAAAGCTGAAGGCAAGTCCATCAAGTGCTATGTATGCGATAAAGTCAACCACAAAGCTTATCAGTGCCAACACCGTTCCGACCTCCAAAATGAGAACAAACCACATATGCACTTTACGGAGAACAATATTGATGTCATCACAGCTATGGTTTCAGATGTGAATATGGTGGAGAATTGTAATACCCTCAAATTTTGTGTAGTGACTAAAATGTAAGTTTTGAAAGTTTAGTAGCTAAAGTATAAAATTTGAAAAGTTTAGAGAGCAAAATTATAATTTTTAAAAATTATATATTTTAGCCCGTAACTGATCAATTTGACTTAAAACAAGGATTTTCGTGAGAATTAGATTTTCGATACGGGATTTGTATTAAAAGCTATAAAGTGATAAAGTTCGGTATTGAAATCGGATAATCGGATTTAACCATAATTTTACGAAAATTTGAAAGATGTTAGGATATGGTTGGAAATATTATTTTCGTATTTTAGATCAGAGAAATTTGGTTCAGAATAGTGTACTTTTTCAGCTTTGACCGAACAGTGGAATTTAGTGACTAAAATGCAATTTTTGAAAATTGTAAAACTAAATTAGAAAGTCAAAGTCAAGTTGATTCATTTTTGACTAAGGAATATTTTATTGGAAGAAAATTCTATGGCATTTGGTAATTATCAAGGTTCATTAATGGTAATTTTGAAAATTTTCATTAATTGAATTTTAAATTCAATTAAATTATCTTTAAGCCAAGTGTATTAGATATTAAATACTAGAATAATGAAGAAGAATCAACCTTTTTTCAGCTTGTTCTCTCCTGGCCGAAACTTCACTCTTCTCCAAGGTAAGATTTTATTTTTAATTTCTAAGCTTACATGATTGATTTTTGGACTAAGTTGTGAAATAGAAAATTATTCTACATGAAATTCTCTATCATTTGATATAAGTAATTCATGTTAAGGATGCTTGGATGTTGAGTTTCGGTGATTAGGGTTTGTGTCATTTTGATGTAATTTGATGTTGTTATGGTTAGAATAGCATGAATTTGATGTAAGGAGGTTGAATTCATGCTTGAAATTGAATGAAAATCAAGCCCTATGTACTTGGATATGTTCGGCCACATGAAGAAAATTAGGGGAAAATGTTGAAAATTTTATTATGGTTTATGATTGATATTAGAAGTATTCTAGGTGAATTGGAGATTGTTTTGGATCAATTTGGAACCTTGAAAGTGAAAAAGGGCTAGTTTATAAGTTTTACGGATTTTGGGACATTATTGCATAAATGTGAGATTTGGAGTATTCAATGATAATATTTAGTATGGAGATGCTGGAAAATTAAGTTGGAGAGTTATTTGGAACCAAATTACAAATTTGGTAAAAGTTTGGGTTGGAATTTGAAAGGTGTAAAGAAAAATGGGGACTTGTTTTCAAGTTGTATCATTTGAGTAAATTAGGACAATTCTGAAAATTCTGGAAGCTTGCTGAAATTTTTGTTTAGTTATTAAGTTTGAATAAAATTACGAGTTTACAGAGATTGGAAGTTGAATTGACAAAGTTTAAGAAAGTTTAGGACGAAATTGCAAGCATTTAAATGTTTAAATATTTATTTGAATATTTTATTGAGGTGCTGTAAATTTTATGTTATTAATGTGAAATAATCATAATGGTGAATGATCATTATTAAGTTAATAGAAAACTTACTAAATTTTGGAACTTATATTTATGAACAAAATTACAAAGTTTTCGATTACTTTTGAAATTTTATATTTTAAAATTTAAATTTTTATTTATTTATTTATTTTGAAATGTTTTACTTTTAAAATGATTTATGTAGTTCATCGTATATAAATGCTGTCATATATTTAGTATTTTTGAATTATAATATTGTTAAATGAATAATATTGAATTAATGACAAGTTTTCTATCGGCAATTCCCAACCGTTCACAGAATCATAATTCATAATTGTATGCTCGTCTTTCGTAAGATATTACGCATACATTAAAATTGAATAATTACAAGTAGCATTTTTTAATAGGATGATATTTTATGTTAGAGTGATAAATTATTAAATTTTATGAATAGACGAATTTATAAAATTTAAGGAGATAAAAGTATATCTTTACTAGAAAATACATAAAGAAATTCAAAATATATAATAATTTTAAAATTTCAGGAAATGACTGCCTCATCCATCCTCACTTGATCTAACCTTGATCTGTAGATTCATTTTATTGTATTTTCTTTAATTTAACTATATATATATACACACACGAATTCACCATTTTGTGCTTATTATTATAACTCAAAAAATAAAGTAGAAACAATACAAATTATAATATTAAATTAAAAAATACATATTAGACTTATCAGTGCCCATTTTCAAATTGTTTGAGTGTGTCAAGCTTGAGCAAGTAGAACTTAATGGAGACTAATCATTTTCTTTAACTTAAAATTAATATATACTATGAACCAATATATATATATATACTAACATTTTCAGTTTGAATTTTAATTCAAGCTAGAAACAAATATAAAGGATTCTTTTAGGTAGAGAAACAAATTTAATAAAATATATTTAGTTTCAATAATACTTTAATTTATTTACTTTTTATATAATTTGTATCTAATTTTTTTGCCTACACTAATATCAAGAAATTTATTTATTTTAAATATATCAAGTGGTTTTAATAATAAAAGAGAAAGTTATTCTCTTTAGAAATCTTAAATTTAAGTTGTTCTCTATAGTCGCGTATGATTTGTTATTATTCATAGCCAATACGGGATCAGCACTCAGCAGAGCCAGGTTCCTGAAGAGCCCCAGTAGTAACCATTGGTTGATCGACCATGTTAGTATTATGGTTTGGCAACACAACCTTAATAGATTCAACAGTCACCATACATAGCCACGTCCAAAGCAGGAGCAACTTGCGGCGGATGCATGATCGTCCTCCTCCATCGAAGAGGATAACAACTCCGAGGCAGGCAGGATATCAGGCCGAGTCTCCATCGGATCCGACGCGTGAGGGGATCAACCATTCACACCACGAAACAAAATCGCAGGTTCTAGGGTTTCCAAGAAAGACGTAATGCAAAGTCGATATTTAAATCTTCTTATATTATTATTTATATATCAAACGTGACATAAATATGCTAAAAGTATTAATAACTCATTGTTTTGAAAATAATAAATACTTAAAAACAATTAAAAGTTAACGCTACTTCCGAATTTCTAAAGTAATTAGCTATTGTTAAACAAATTAAGCAATTAATCCTATACAGCATAACTGTTAAATATAACGATAAGAAATATAAATAATATAAAATCTGTAAAGTAAGGATAAAAAGAAATTAAGAAATAATATTTTTATCCTTAAAATTAACTAATAACCAATCCTAATGCTACTACTACTCCTCCTACTCCAAAATAAACCATGCAACTAAAAGAGGTACAATTCGAGTTTATCTTTATGGAGTTTTATCTTATA